TTCTTTCTTTTCATATCTTTTTTACAAGCATAGACAAAAATAGAGCACGAGCCTAGTGTGCCAACACACCCAGGCACAACTGGTCCCACCCTATGTGCTTTCATGGTTACAAGGGAAAACTTTGTAGACAGAGGAGTGCGGAAGAGGGACTTACAAATGAGTGTGATGTTAAAAAAAAGTCACCAAGACATTTTTTTAAAAAGGTGCAAAACTAGTCCAGACCTCAGCTGAGAGTATGTCTGTGTGTATTGGGATGGGGGTGGGGGCTGTTAGGGGGTGAGCATGCTGGGTAAAATAAACAAAAAATACATGTTTATTGACTGAATAGCACTTTAGGAGACTGATGATTTATACAGCTGGGTAAATCTCAGGCCCTAATTATCCCAGTGAAGTAGGGCATTGATGTCTCCAAATCTCTCTTCCCTGCTTCCCATCCTATCTCTCACCCCATCCCTTTCAATCACTGCCTGACTCTTAGTACCTACCTTCCCGGGTCTGTGGTCTGAGAGATTCTCATTGTGCCACAGAGAACAACCCTAGATAAACGCTGGTGATTCCATAGGAACTGTTCAAATCCTGAGTTCAAATCTGACCTCAAACACTTACTAACTAGAATTGGGATAGGGTTCAAACTTAGGTCTCTTCCTGACTCCAAGTCCAGTACCTTATTCACTTACCTAGCTAAAGCAGCTAAGTGGCTGACCGTGGGCAAATCATCTCACTTCTTTGCTGACTCAGTTTCCTCATTTGTAAAATGAAGATAAGAATAGCATCTACATCCCAGAGTACTTGTGAGGATAAAATGAGATATTTGTAAAGTGCTTCACAAAACTTAAAGTGTTTATATAATAAATTCCATGTGTTATTATCCTACCTACCTTGCAAGGTAGTTGTGAGAAAGGCACTTAGCAAATTCTTCAGATTCTAGTGAATGTGTGTGACGGTGTGATAGCCCTTGATGAAATGAACTTTGGAGACGATCCTTGAGTTTGGATTATTCAGGAGCCCTGCTAATTTGCTGATCAAGTGAGATGATGTATGTAAAGTACCTGCAAAGCTTAAAGCTCTATGTAAATGTGGGCTGTTATCATGATTGTTATAATTATTCATGGAAGTAGATGATATTCAGATGATTGTATTGGTAATGGAAAGGGGAAATGAAACCAGGTTTCCTGCTTCCGCTCACCTCTTCAGACTAGAGTGGGGAGGCTGGTAGGAAGATAGTGCTGCCGGCTCCTTAAACACATGAACGATTTGTAAGCACTGGCCAGGCCACCAGCTGGGCCCCTGGGCAAGCTGGCCGTTGTTTTGGTGACATCATCTCCAGGCATGGGCTGCTCCTCTGCAGATGGCTTGACTGTTCAAGCCAAGATTTTCCCTGGAAATTTTGTCCACAGCAAAACACTTATTTACCGGGCACTCTGGGCCAGAAAGCTCTGCAGAGGGCCCAAACCTTTCAACTGTCCCCATTTCCATTGACACCCCCCCCCAGAACATATAACATTAAACAAACATTTTTTTCTAAAGTGCTGACTGTATACCTGCCAGGCACTGTATTAGCCACTGAGGATTCAAAGACAGAAACCAAACAGTATCAGACCTGAAGGAGCTTAGGGGAGAAACAACACAGGCATAGAGAAATATAAAATATATACAAAGTCAATACAAAATCATTGTAAATGAAGGAAAGGCATTAACAACTGAGGGGATCAGGATAGGTGCCATGCAGAAAGGTCACTTGAACCGAGACTTAAGGGAGTTAGACATTCTAAGAAATTAGGAGGGAGGGTATTCCAGGCAGGAGGCACAGCCAGCGCAAAGGCATAGATACTGGAGGTGGAATGTCATATACAGGAAATACCAACTAAGCTAATTTGGCAGCAGCTAAAGAATCCCTGGAGAACAGTAGTGTACAGTGTGCCTGGAAAGGTAGGCTGGAGCTAGATGATGGAGGGCTGCTGGTATTTATAATCCCAGTGTACGTGCGTTCACATGTGAATGAAATTGTGAGGGCGTATGGAGGGAGGCACAGGTAATCTTGTGTCTAATACCTAGGTCTGGATATTGTATCCCAGAATCACCTTCTGGGATGGTCTAGGGGCTGCTTATAAAGAAATCAACCAGGGGCAGCTAGGTGGAGCAGTGGATTGAGCACTGGCCCTGGATTCAGGAGGACCTGAGTTCAAATCTGACCTCAGACACATAACACTAGCTGTGTGACCCTGGGCAAGTCACTTAACCCCCATTGCCCCCAAAATAAATAAATAAGCCTTCAAAAAAATTTGAAAAAAGAAATAAACCAGGTGGGGAAAGGGGTGTCCCAGGTTTTGTCAGACTTATTCTACAAGTCTTGAACCCCATGTCTGTTGGGTCAGACTTTGCATGCTACCCTACCCTATCCCTACCCCTGCTAGATTTCTCCACCTCTCCTGACCTAAGTGAAAAACAGAATTGCTTCCTCCATTAATCTCAGTGAGGAAATCCAGGTAATATCACCCAAAGGGCCGAGTAGAGATTGCTGGCAGGAGAGACTGAGGGTTCAAGTATGCTAACTTACTGTATGACCTTGGCCAAATCATCCCCCCTCCTCATGCCTCAGTCTCCCCATCTGTAAAAATGAAGGAATTTAGACCAGGTGATCCCTAAGCTCCCTTCTAGCACTAATATTTGGGGATTCAGTCCAAAGCTCAGGATTGTTAGAGAATAAGGAAAATTTGATGAAGATGAGTAGGGATCTCAGCTATATATGCTTATCTCCCTTCCTGCCTGGGACATTTCTTTACTGGTAAACTGAAGGAGGTGGACGGAGGAACACCTGGGTGGTTCTTGACAAGGTGGAATCGGGGAGCTCCCATCTGTTCTGTGTAACAACCCTATCTTCCTGACCAGGCCTCCTTCTCGGCTCCTCCCAGCCCCCTTCCTTTTAACATTCTTCCTGCCAGCCCCAGGTTTCCCCCAAGGTTCCATCCACCAGGCTGCAGCTGGGGCTGCAGATGCTGAGGAAATAGTCAAAGGGTCTATGGGCATTGGAATAATGGGGGCTGAAGATGTGCCTCCTCCAAGGGGCACCTAGAAAAAGAGCAGAGAAAAAGGAATTTTCTTGGAAGTAAACACTGAAATTGCCTTCTTCTTCAGGCACCTCCCTCACCTGACCTTAAGTAGAGTGAGCCTTTAATCATCAATGATCAATTCTCATTTATCCAAGTGACTAGCATTTTCTAGATAACTTTATTGTCACTGTCCTTCCTCCTTCTCTGATTCATAGAGTGGCAGAGCTGGAAAGGACCTGAGAGAATTTCCAACTCCTTCATTTTAAGAGAAAGAAACTGATGCCTAAGGTAGTTGAAAAAAAAACAAATAAAAAAAACCTGCTCAAGGAATAGAGCTAATTAGCCACAGAACCAGTACTACAACTCTGGTGTCCTAACTGCTCTCCCTTTGCTCATCAGCCTCACCCGAGAAAGTCAGACAAGGCATAGAAGATGGGGAAACTCAAACCTGCTCACAATGCTTATCATGAGAACAGCTGGGATGGGATGGGCTCTGTGATTAGCTAAAATTCCAATTTGGGATTTCATGTGGATTTCCAACGTCCTGGGCTTTCCCTGAACCCAAAAGCCCAGATCAGGAAGAGGCTTCTTCAAGAGGGCAGTGCTAGGTGGACCCCAAGCTTGTCACCTTGACTCCTAGGATTCCAGATTCTTCCCAAAGGTGTGGAAATAGACAGAATGTTGAGTCCCGTGGCTCCCCCTTCATTATGTTCAAGTCAAAGCCTGGCTTATGGACAGAAGGTTCTGCTCCTTAGCATCCCCTGCCTAGAGAAATATGTCCTCTGTTCCAGAATTTAACATCATCAGTAAACAGTCTCTCAGCAGCTACTGGCAATGAGGCACCTTTGGCCTTAAACTCTTCCTAGGTTCTGTCAAGATCCTCTGAGATCAGCATTCACTCCTTCTGTTCAGCTAGTGAGAAAGTGGTACAAATGAGACAGAGGTTACAGCTTTGATTTCTGCGGAGGACAGTTAGTTAGCTTCTTGGAGCCTACAAAAAGCTCATCCCTAGCTTCAGGCAGCTAGCTGCCTTACACTACCTACACAGATAGGTACAAGAGGGCAAAGTCCCACAGATGTATGAGGTTGGCCACAAGAGGGCTAGCTCTGCAGACAGACAACTGTCTCACAAATGTGCACTGTTAGTCATAAGGGGCCAGGTGAGGCAGGCGTCTCACAAATGTTGCTGTTGGACATAAGAGGACTGGCTCAGAGGATGTGAATGATTCCTGGGTGAGAAGATGTGAATGGTTTGATGCAACCATCCCCACTACAAGAAAAACAAAGCCTGTATTAACCTTGGGCCTGAAAGCATTAATGCAGCTGTCCAATGGAGTCTTAGTGCTAGGGAGTAACTGAGGTCTGGAACACTGTCTCAGAGGAAGTCTGCAACTGAATGGGACCCTTTCCTTATACACAGGTGGGAATCCCCTTCTCCCCAAGGGTGCAGAGGGCTAGCACAAAGGAGAGGGTTCACCTTTCTCCAGGTGAACCGATCCTGTAGATTTCATGATCAGACAGCTATTCAGTGGAGTTTAGGAGAGTGATCATCCCCTACCTTGGGAAAGAGAGACAGGGAAGAGGGAACAGTGGGGTGGGGGGAAGAGGGGAAGAGAGGGAGAGAAGGAGGAGGCAGGGGAGGGCCCAGACACCCAGGGGACATGTACTGAGGCACTCAGTCCAGGAAAGAGCTACTTGGTAATAGCCCAAGCACTTTCCCTTGGGATTCCCAGGGAGGCTTAGTGCTTCTATGATTCCTGTCTTCTCCCCCTGCTCTGAATGGAAAGCATTAATGAAGCTATTTCTCCCTCCTCAACCCCCTCCCCAACTCCCCATTCTCAACCAGTAAGAGGGGCTAGGAGGGGCTGTGGGCACAAGTCAGTGAGTGGAAAGGCTCGGCAGCTCCTTGACTCATTATTCATCTCTGTTTGTTTTTCCCCTTTTTCCCAGGTCCTTCTCCTCCTCTGGTCCCAACACCTCTTCTCTCCTTGGCTAAGGTTTTCTACACTCCAGTCTCCAGCTCCCTCTTTCTAAGACTGGCAATGGGGATCCCTGAGCAGCTGCTGATGGTATCCTTAGCCATGCTGTCTTTTTCAGGTAAGAGATTTCATCTCTGCTCAGAGTGAAGATACTATCAATAATAACAATAATGATGATATTAGCTGTCTAAATTTGCAGTTCTATAGCACCTTTCTTACCAAAGCTCTCTGCTGGCTATGATCTTATCTGTTCTCCTGTCTTCTCTATGAGATAAGGAGTGAGGATTTTCTCCCTTTTAGTATAGATGGGGAACTTGAAACCTAGAAAGGTTAAGTGATTTAACCTTAGAGGTTAAGTAACCCACTTCAAGGGTTAGAATCTAAACGTCCTGATTTGCAGCCCTATCCATTAGAATTTACTGTGTCCCTACTTGGAGGGGTGGGGGTGGGGGAGAGGGGTAGACCAGGAACAAATGAACAAAAACAAAACGCTGCTAAGATCCAAAAGATTGGGGGTGAGGGCAGAAATTTAGTCCTTGAGGACAACGTTCATATCTTGATAAATAGGGAGAATGTATGGAAATGTGAACATTTGAGTTTCAGAAAAGCAGAGATGTAGCTGGATAATGAACTATCTAAGCTATAGAGGATAAAATTTTTTAACCCAAGACTGCATAAGAATCACAAGCATAGAGAAAGGAACCTAGAAAGGAAAATAGTAGATATAGAGTGTTCCACCTGGAACAAAACAGAGTCTTCAAAATAAGATGAGCTCTGGTGGCAAGTTGCCCTAAGATGAGACATGGAAGGTAAAGTCTCTAAACCTAAAGGAGAAGGAAGGCCTTCTTGAGAGACATAATCATGCCAAGGTACCTCCATCAGACACGGTATAAAATCAGGAGGTTAGAGATAGTCCTTGCCTACATTACAAAGGTGGACCAAGACTCCTCCAGTGAAAAGAAAAGGAGGGAGGTCACAAATATTCTTCTTCAACTCCTTTGGTTCCCCAATCTCCTAGTTCCTCCCCCCCACTCTAGGGTGGAGGTCTCTGACCCCTCCCAAGGCTAGGTTATGCATCTTGGCAGTTAGGGCTCTTTCATTTTGTACTGTGCCCATCTGCTTCCTTTCCTCAGAGGGAAACTGATTGCCATGTTTTCTGAATATCTCATTTCTTGTACATATACCCCAGACAAGTTCAGGAACTAGAGTTAGTAGGGAAAGGAAGGAGACTGACACAAATCTGTAAGAGTTCTCAGCTTCCCCCCTTCTTCCTCTGCTTCCTCAAAAGCAGCTAGGGTGGGGACTCATAAGGACTGGTAACTGGGCTCTAAATCCTGCCCTTGAATTCTAACCAGCTCAAGGCTCAACTGGGAAGAAGGAGCTTCCCCTAGGAAGGAATAGAGGGGGCTGTCAGAGACTTTCAGGATAGACTGATGTGAGAGAACCACTGGGGTCCTTGGCTGCCTTCTTGGCTGTGGGGACAATAGGAGGACTTTGGAGCTGATCATCTCAACGTATTTAGCCACATAAGAAGCCCCTACAAGGTCACGCCTCCATTGCTAGGGCCCTCTATTGACCCCCATTGGACCCAGAGACACAGAAAGCATGTGATCCTTGCTTGTCTCCTTCAGCCATGCCCCGATCTCACAGCTTTGGGTGTTACCAGGGAAGGCAGCTCCAGCAATCTTGTCTGTCTTCTTGGATCTGTGTGGGGGAGGAGGGGAGGAGGAATGGAAATCCTGCCTGGGCTCTCCCAGCATCACCTCCCAGATAGACCAGATCATAAATAAGGACTTGTCCCTGTCTGTGGATTCCCCATGCTTCCTCCTCAAGCATCCCTGAAGCTTCCATTGACTGCGGTTGAGGCTGAGAGCTCCAATCTATACATAAGTATGGTAGAGACCTAACAGAGGCTGCCAAGGATAGCTGTGGGTGAGTTACAGGCTGGGATGGGGAGGGGCACAATGGAGGATACAGCAGATGACAAGTACAGTCAACCACACCAAGACTGCAGTTTAGGAGCAACATGCTTTGTGTATATAAGTGTGTAAGTATGAGTAAGTAGAACAAAGGGTATATATGCACATATAAGTAGGTATGGTTACATGTACTGTGCATATGTGAGAAGCAAAGTATGTGTATATAGATGTATAAATGCACACACATATAAATATGTAATTGTACTAATTGGTACTGTGTAGAGGTGTGTGGTAATAATACTAAGAGCCAACATTTATTTTAGTGAACTTGTTAATATTAGCAAAGCTTTTTACAAATATTATTTCATTTTACCCTCCCAACAACCCTGGCAGGTAGGTTGTATTATTATTGCCCACCTTTTACAAATGAGGAAACTGAGGCAGGCAGAGGGGAAATGACTTGCCCAGGGTCACACAGCTAGTCAGTGTCTGAGGCCCAGTTTGAACTCAGATCTTCTTAACTCCAAGTTCGGGAGTGCCCCATCCACTGCATTGTCCAGCTTCCAGCCACTTTCAAAGACGTGTGTGTGTGTGTGTGTGTGTGTGTGTGTGTGTGTGTGTGTGTACCAGACCCATGATTTCATTGGTATATAAAAGATTCCCAACAAGGAAATTCCCTCCAGTAATGCTGATTAGCAATCGTTCCACAATTCATTGTCTTAGAGAGCTGCTGGGACACAGCGAGTTTAAGTGAGTTGCCCAGGCTCACACCCAGTAGGCATCAGAACTTGTCTTCATGCTCTGAGGTCCTCTCTCTGTCTACTTTCTACATGGCCTCTCTTCTAAGATTTACCTACTCATTTGTAAGTGGTTTGTGACCTGCCTGAGTTGGTGAAAGGAACTCCCACGCCAATAAAATCCTATATCCAGGCTGTTCATGAGTATTTGAAAATCAATGCATGTTTGTATGTCTATGTATGGATGTGGACATGAGTGTGTTTGTATACAGTAACTGTGAAAGTGGATTATGCAGCTTATACAAATGTGTGTACATGTGAGTGTTTTCTGTGCACTTGGATGTGTGTGCCAGTATATTGGGTGTATGTGTGAATGTGCATGAGGAGGCAAATAAGATGCTTCATAGAGAAAACTGAAGCATCCATGCTTCCCCTCCCCTCCCCCAGCCTGGCCCAACCCTATTAATAACCATTGACCCCCCACAGATCCTCGGAGACCGAGTGTAGTTATTATTCTAGGATGCTTTCAGCAGTCTGACAGACCTCCCTTTCCCCCATGACTCCTTCCCATCTCCGGCTTGGGGCAGCCTCCTCCCTGCCCTGGGCCACGGTCATTAACTCGGGATTAAGCTGTGCTCTCCAGCCCAGGAGATTGAGTCATGTCTCCCAGCTCTATAGCCCAGCAAGTACTGGGGGAGGGAGTTTCAGGGACTCTTCGGAGAGCTGCTAAGCAGCTGCCCCCCTCATCCCCAAGGGACCAGGGCTAGGTCTCAGCTGCAAGAGAGTGGGGAGGCTGGCCCCACACCCCTGGAGCTGGGTTGACAGCTGGATGTGGGCTGCGACGGGGGGAGCATTAATTGGTTAATAGGGATCCCCCTTCCCCCATCAGCCATCGAGGAGCATTGAAACCAGCTGCTCTGAGGGGTGGGAGCCAATTAGTGGAGCCGCCTCACCTCTCCCCTTGATGATGATGGGGGGAGGTTGGGGAGAAGGAAGGGGTCTTGATGCGAGGGGAGAGGCAGCCCAGACTGACAGGAGACCAGCAATGACTGGAAAGACAAATGACTGCTTTTGAAAGGTACAAATACAGAGTAAGGAGTCATGAATAGTTACACACCACTGAAACAAACAACAGTAATACAGAACAGAGAGAGCCCTAACATAGAAGAGACAAGGACTCCTGGATTCTGAGTTGGCTTCTCCCTGATCTCAGGACGTTGCCTGCTCAATTCCATGAGGAACCTTTTCTTTTAGCTGTAATTTATTATCATTTATTATCGTCATTCAATATCATTTAATAGCTTCTTATTATTAATAATAATAGTTGCTGTAGTTGCATTTGTATAGCTCTTCCTGTTCAGTCGTGTCTTACTCTTTGTGACCCCATAAACCAGGGTTTTCTGTGTTCCACTATCTCTCAAAGTGTGTCCAGGTTTATGTTCATTGTTTCCATGATGCCATCTATCCATCTCATCTTCCTCTGCCTTCCTGTTTTCCTTTTGCCTTCAATCTTTCCCAACATCAGAGTCTTTTCCAGTGAGTCCTGTCTTCTCTTATGTGGCCAAAGTATTTAAGCTTCAGCTTCTGTATTTGACCTTCCAATGAATAGCCTGAATTAATTTCTTTAAGTATTGACTGATTTGATCTGCTTGCTGTCTAAGGGACTCTCAAAAGTCTTCTCCAGCGACACTATTTGAAAGAGTCAATTCTGCGGCTTCTCAGTTCTTAAAGGCTTACAAAGCACTTTCCATCTATTGACTCATTTGAGCCTCACAGTAACTTTGTCCCTATTTTACCGATAAGGAAACTGAGGCAGACAAAGGTTCAATGACTTGCCCTGGTCCACACAGCTAGTAAGTGTCTGAAGCAGGATTAGAACTCAGGTCTTCCTGACTGGTGAAGACCAGAGCTATAATAGCACTGGGAAACTGACTCTCACTTTGCAAGTATCCCATCCATTCATGGCCATGGAGAGAACAAGTAGCAGACTTGAAATGCGAAAAAGAGGCAGGGCAGCTAGGTGGCGCAGTGGATAGAGCACCGGCCCTGAAGTCAGGAGGACTTGAGTTCAAATCTGTCAAGAAAAAGAGGCCATGAGAGATTGGGGGGGCAAGGCAGGGAGATGGAGGAGGAAGTGGAGAGTCAGGCCTGTAGAGCATTCCTTTTATCTGTTCAATAAAAAAGTTAAAAAAAAAAAAGCAAAGCCTGTGGAACAAAGATGTTAAACAGACAGTCACAACATCCTCTGTGTGGCCTCAACCAGATTAAAATGTCATTGGGAAATCTTTAACAAGATAAATAAAAATATCATAGAACATAGATACTGTTAATATGTAATTTTCTAAGTCAATATGCAGCCAGAGGCGATCCTTAAGCAGGGTTTAGTGGCCCTCCATTCTAGAGGAGATTGACATGAGTGATTTGCTAAGGGCCACACAGATAGTATGTGCTAGGAGTAGGATTTCAACCCAGGTCTTCCTGTTTCCTGTTTTAAGGTCATCTCTATTCCCTACACCATTCCACTTCACCTTCCAAACTTGGCCAGAGTAAAAAATCTATGGATCATGAGAATTTTATTTTTGATTGCCCTAGTACACTTTCATTTGAGCAAAGAGGAAATGGAGGCCCAGAGCAATTAAATTATTTTTAAAACACAAATCTTCAGCCTAGCATTTAAGACTGGCTCCTGCCTACCTTTCTGGTCTTACGCTAGTCGTAAGGGCATAGATTTAAAGCTAAATGGAACTTTAGAGACCATCAAGTCCAACCCTCTTGTTTAATGAGGAAAGCTGAGGCACAGAGATCTTAAGTGACTTATCCAGGGTCACTTAGCTAGGAAGTATACAAGAGAAGATTTGAGTCTTTCTAATGCTATGTTCAGTAGCCCATACTGTTCTGTCCTCCCCTCTACCATGCACTCTGTTACAAGTCAAAGAGGAGGGAGAGGGGGAAGAGAAGGATAGAAACATTTACATAGCACCTACTATGTGCCAGGAACTGTGCTAAAGTGCTTTACAAATGTTATCTCATTTGATCTTCTGATCCTTTGAGGTAGCTATAGGATTGTTATGCCCATTTTACAATTAGGGAAACTGAGGCAGATAGCGGTTAAGTGACTTGTCCAGGGTCACACAGCTAGTAAATCTCTGTGGACAAATTTGAATTCAAGTCCTTCTGACTCCAGGACCAGCACTATGGTGCCATCCAGATGCTTCCTTGACAGCTTGTTAGGTTTTCCCAGTGCCCAATCAACATCCCTTGGGGAGGGGAGGATGAGAAAGGGGCATGTCTTTTCAGAAGACACTCTCTCCTCATCTTCTTGTAGAATCCTTAGCTCCCTTCTAAGGGTAGCTCAAGTGACACCTTCTAGAAGAGATGTTTACTGGCAGCTAGATGGCTCAGTGGATAGAGCACTAGGCCTGGAGTCAGGAAGACTAGAGTTCAAATCTGACTTCAGACACTTACTAGCTGTGTGACTCTAAGCAAGTCATTTAACCTCTGTTTGCCTCAGTTTCCTCAAATGTAAAATGGAAACCATGAGGGCACCCACCTCCCAAGGTTGTTGTGAGGATCAAATGAAATAATTGTAAAGCACTTAGCACATAATAGGCACTACATAAATGTTAGCTATCAACTGATCTCCCATATCTCTTCCTCTTGGAATCACTTTTTATTTACTGGTGTACGTGATGTAACACCCCCCACTAGAATATAAGCTCCTAAAGGATAGAGAATATTTATTTTTTGTATTTGTGTCCCCAGCACCTAGCACCACAGTACCTGACTCAAACTTTTTTTTTTGTGGTCCAAACCTGTAATTTCATCAGTATAAAAAATTCACAGAGTAGGTACTTAATCAATGTTTGTTGACTCGACTTGAATTTGTCCATAGTCATGTAGCTAAGTGTTAGCAGAGCTATAACTCAGTCTTTAGTTTTCATGATCCTAAATCCTTTGGGGACTAGAACAGAGAAGATTTATGAGGACCCATTAAATGTCATCAAGTATTTGAAGGTTTGTCACATGGAATAAGGCTTAAACTCAATCTGCTTGGACACACAGGGTGGAAGGAAGGAGTAGAAATGGGTAGAAGTTACAAAGAGGCAAGAAGATATGATGTAAAGGAAGCCTTGCTAACAGTCTGAGCCATCCAAAGACAGAATGGGCTGCCCAGGAGGCAGGAGTGGGCTTCGCCTCAGTGTAGGGCTCTTCCAGCAAAGGCTGGCTGGCCACCTGGGCGCTATGTTGCAGAGGGGGACTTGTTCGGGGAGGGGCTGGATTAGCAGAGAATCTTGGAGATTCTGTGACACTATGGCTTGAGTTTTAGTCCTTGTGTCCTGTGTGATTTTGAGGGCTTAACTAGTCTGACTTAACTAGTCAATTTCCTCATTTGTAAAATGGGAACAGGAAATACTTATGCTATTAAACCATGGACAGTTATAAGATTCAAGTGGGAAAAGTGCTTTTGTAACTGTGAATTGATCTGTGTGTGTGTGTGTGTGTGTGTGTGTGTGTGTGTAAGCTATTATTATTAGTGTTTACATATGATTTCATTTCATGCTCAGAAACCCGCCTACCCGAAGTCCAAAATCCTGCTTCTTCCCCTACAGATACTGTCGCGGTCTCTCTTTCTCTATCTTCCTCTATCTCTCTCTGTCTCCATCACTCTGTTTTCTCTGTCAGAGAGAGAGAGAGGAATCTCACAGAATGTTTTGCCCAAACTGGATCTGAACAGGAATCCCTTCTATCTTTATTAGAATGGAAACAATACAAACTATGGGTTCAACTCCTCCTTTAATGTTTATTGTCTGCATGACCTTGGACAAGTCACTTACTTCCTTGGATCTCAGTTTTCTTTGGAAGGAGCTGGTTGGTCTCTAAGGCCACTCAAGATCAGTGATCCTATGATCCCTGACAAGTGGTCAAGCAGGTTCTATAGAAAATCTGCAGGGATCCTGGAGCGGCCCATTCCACTTGTTAGGAAGCTGTTCTTTACAGGCAACCAAAATCTTTGTCTCTCAGACCAGGTTAACCCCATCTGCAGAAATGAGTTTGGGCTCCACTCCTAAGTCTCTGTGATTACTATTCCACATTTCCAGCTTGGAATCCAGCCCAGGGCTCTCCTGCCATCTTTGGGCCTGTCTTTGAAGACCAGCCTGTCAGCTCTTTGTTCCCTGAGGAGTCATCAGAAGAGAAGATAGCCCTGGCCTGCCGTGCCCGGGCAAGCCCTCCAGCCACATACAGGTGAGACATCCTATTCCTGGGCTTGGGTCAAGGTTAGATCCAGGCAAGGGGCACATTCTCCCCTTTAAAGCCGACCCCAAACCATGCATGAGAGTTGATCTAAGTCCAAGTCACAGAGTCCCTTGGAGATGACTCCAGAACTAGCCTGTTCCCTGAAGCTAAAATGACCCCTAGCTCAGAACTAAACAGCCATCCCTTCTTTTCTTCATTCTCAACAGATGGAAGATGAATGGCACAGAGATGAAGCTGGAGCAGGATCCCCACTACCAGTTGGTTGGAGGCAACCTGGTCATCATGAACCCCACCAAGGCCAGGGATGCTGGTGTGTACCAGTGCCTGGCCTCTAACCCAGTGGGCACTGTGGTCAGCAGAGAGGCTGTGCTCCGCTTTGGTTGTAAGTCTTGTAGATTGAAAGCAGAGAGGGGAGACTGTATGCACTCAGGTGATGTGGGCATGGCACTGCTTGGGATGGGTTGTATTGATTAGGACCAGCCTTATTTGTTGATAGAATCAGTTCTATAGGGTATGAAGTGAAGTCAACTACCTCCAAAATATCACCTTGAGGGAAATAGAACAATCCAACTTGGAGTCAGAAGAGCTGGGTTTAAATCTTAGCTCTGAGGCTAGATGTATGATCCTGAGCAAGTGGAGAAACCTCTCTCAGCCTCAGTTTCCTCATCTGTAAAATGGGAATACTAACAGTACCCATAACAAGGCTGTTATGAGGATAAAATGAGATAATATACATGTAAAGATATTTGCAAACCTTAAAAGTGTTATATATAAGGTAGTTGTTATTAAGTATGATTGTGTCCTTGGGGTTAAGCATTGGCTTCTTTTTGATGCTCAGTCTAGGCAAATTCTTCTCCCTTCCCCCTCGTCCACCTATAGGTGAGAAAACCCAGAATGGGGTTCAAGTCTAAACTAGCTTCAGGCACAGTGAACGTTCTTCTCTCTACTAATTCTCACCAAGTGAGGAACGAGGTCAGTCTATCTCCTGGAAAGAGTAAAATATTAAGTCACTAACTCACTTTTGGGAAGTGAGTAATGGCAAAAGGGGATGGAGTTTGCTGACCAAAGCCCCCTCCTCCTGGCCCTTAGGATTCAGTATAATTAGTATCTTTTTCTCTGAAAAGCCATGAAAGGGAAAAATAAAAAGGGACCGAAATTACTCAGTGTCACTTAGGTGGTGACAGAGCTAGGATTTCTACTCAAGTCCTCTGACTCTAAATAACACCATCTTGAATTTGAAACTTAATTTTTTTAATGTGAGGCAATTGGGGGTAGTGACCTGCCCAGAGACACACAGCTAGTGAGTGTTATGTGTCTGAGGTCAGATTTGAACTCAGGTCCTCCTGACTCCAGGGCCAGTGCTCTATCCACTGTGCCATCTAGCTGCCCCTGAAACTCAATTAAAAGAAAAAAAAGAATGCTTAAAAATATTTACATGCAATTGGGAAATATCTAATGAAATAAAAAATATTTGAAAATAATAAATAACAGTATTTTTTCCTACTGCACCCCACAGCCTTTCATTTTAAGGGCACTGATAGAGACTAATTACATAAGTCAGAGACCTTGAGGTCTGGGCCAGCGCAAGATGGTAATGAGCCCCCTGTTGTTGCTTTATAGTTTTGCAGGAATTCTCCAAGGAGGAAAGAGATCCTGTGAAAACCCACGAGGGCTGGGGGGTGATGTTGCCCTGCAACCCGCCTGCCCACTACCCAGGTGAGTCATCCGGTCATTCAGGCCTGAGACAAAGAACAAACCAGATGCGTTGTTGAAACCCTAGTGCACTGGCTGACATCCTTGGAAAGACAGAGTGTTGCAGGAGGAGGAAAGAAGTGGTAGAGGCTCAGGCTTTCCCTTTGGGAGCATAGCTCCAGGTACCTGCAATTCTAGTATCTCATGATGTGGTACAGTGGGTAGATTTCTGGACTTAGGGTAAGGGCAACCTGGGTTTGAATCCTGCCTCAGAACCTTAATCCCCTCTAAGTCTTCATCTGTAAAATGGGGCTGATAGCCCTACATCACAAGGTTGCTGTGAAGATCAAATAAGACAATACACGAAAAGCACATACAAATGTCAGCCATTATAATTATCAAGCACTGTCTTCTCCATGAATTGACCTTCTATAATTGAGTGTCACCCTACCCTTCATTCTCATCCCTCATTACTTCCCTCCATGAACTCTATACTCTAGCCAAACTTGGCCACTTTCTGCATTACCACCAACACCACCACTGCCGCCACTGCCACCATCGCTGCTGCCACCACCACCACCACCACCTAGCACACTGTGGTTTCCCACCTCTCTGCCTTTGCTCATGTGGTCCCTTCTGCCCAGAGTATTCTCCCTTCCCTCTTTGCCCACTAAATAGATCCTTTGCATGATAATCAAATGCTACCTCCTCTAAGATGCCTTCTTGAGACCTAGTCAGTAATCCTTCTTGCCCACCTGGTACTCAGTGTAGCAGGAAGTAGATAGATGAAGGCTGGGCCTAGAGTCAGAATGACCTGAGTCACTTAATCTCTGTTTGCCTCAGTTTCCTCAACTGCAAAATATCACCTACATCCCAGGATTATTGTCAGGGTCAAGTGAGATAATATCTGTAAAGCACTTAGCAGAATGCCTGGCACATAGTAGGCATTTAATAAATGCTTATTCCCTTCCTTTATTTTATACCATTATCCAACACACAGTGGTCTCCCACCACCGTGTCTTTGCTCTCACTGTTCCTTATGCTGGTCATGTGAGTGTTCTAAGGGCAAGGTCTGTTTTGGTTTTATATTTTGGAGACAGCATTAAGCAATTTGACATCAGAGGAGTTAGGTTCCAATCCTGGTCTCTTACTTATTATGCAAAATTGGACAAGTCACTTTCCCACTCTGGTCCTTAGTTCCTTCATCTTTAAAATGAGGATTGGGGACAAAATGACCACTAGGGTCCTTCCAGATCTAAATCTAGGTACCTATGATTTTCAGCACCTAGAACAGCTCCTGGCTAGCTAGTGTGTATTTATAACAGTTAAAATGAATTGAATTGTTGAATACAACCTCTCCTTGAGGGACTGAGTACCCAAGAGTGTAACCAAATGGATCCTGTCCTCATAACCTCTTCCCCCACCCAGGTGTTACATGTCGTGTGTCCAGAGAGAGGCCCCTTAGGTCTGCTCAGGGGGCACAACTCCTTCCCTATCTCCCCACCTCAGGTCTGTCCTACCGATGGCTTCTCAATGAGTTCCCCAATTTCATCCCAACTGATGGGCGGCACTTTGTGTCCCAGACAACGGGAAACCTGTACATCGCCCGGACAAATGCCTCTGACCTGGGCAACTACTCCTGCCTGGCCACCAGCCACATGGACTTCATAACCAAGAGTGTCTTTAGCAAGTTTGCCCAACTCAACCTGGCTGCGGAAGGTCAGGTTCAGGGAACCTGGCACACATGGAAAGAGAGGATGGGTTGGGGGAAGGGGCAGGGAGAAACCACTGAGCCTGGAAAAGGAGACACTCCAGAGTAGACCAATCATCCCCTTGGCAGGGTCTGGCCCCTACCTGCAGCTCCATCCTTCCTCTGCTGGTACCCAGAGAATAAGTTACTCCAATACCTTTGGAATATGTCCTACTACCCTCTGGGAGAATTCAGACCTAGGCAGAGAGAGTAGGTAAATCCTCTGAATAGAGTCCTTGGCTCCCTCTGGAAAGCTAACTAACTTCCTGCCTAGGAATTAAACTAGGTCACATACTCCACTCCCCGCCCCCACCTCACACAGAGAAATAAATGAGATAATATATGAAAAGTTCTTTGTACAGCATAAAGCCCTTTATAAATTCTAATTATTATCATTATCGATAATAATGATAATAATAATAAAAAAAAAACAATCCTTTCAGCCGGATTTCTAAGCACTGATAAGATCCAAAGCTGTTGGTTCAGGGGCTCATTTACATCTCATTTGCATGGCTCCTCCCTCCAGACTCCCGTCCATCTCCACCCAGCATCAAGGCCAGATTCCCCATGGAGACCTATGCACTGGTTGGACAACAGGTCACCCTGGAGTGCTTTGCTTTTGGGAAGTGAGTAATGGCAAAAGGGGATGGAGTTTGCTGACCAAAGCCCCCTCCTCCTGGCCCTTAGGATTCAGCATAATTTCTTTATTCCTTGCATCCATCTTTTAAAAGCCTTTAGTGTTCAGTGACACCTTAGCCTAGATTAGTTAGCTAGTGTCACCTTAGAAAGCTAGAGATTAGGGCCTTGAGGGACAAAATGATGAGGGACAGGAGTTAAGGGATCAAAAAACATGCTGAGCATGGAGTAGTATTGTGAAGGGGGACACCATGGAGGGGAAGGGGACTGAGCATGGCTTGGAGTCTGGCAATGAGACAAACTTCACAAACCTACCTTTTGCCTAGGACTGTCTCTGATCCCAACGTCAGGACTGAGGGGAGGGGAAGGCAGAAGAGAAGGAAGGGAGAGAAAAGAGACAGGCATCTAATGCACTTAAGCATCAGCTCCTAGTCCTTCCTTTTCTGCCTCTTGTGCCTTTTGGATGTAGGGAATGAGAGACATGTCTTACTCTGTCCTCCCTTCTCCTGCATTCTGTTCTCTTATGAACCTCAGCCAAGGCTCAGCACCTCTCTCTTCTCATCTCTCTAGTCTAAGGGATTTATCATCCCAACCCTTGGTCCCAGGCTCCATAAGCCAGTCCTACAGAGGACCTGAGTAGTGATGGAGGGATTTGGGAGCAATGGGGAGGAGAGAAGATTCTGTGCTCTTATTCAGTCCAGCTCCTAGTCCTGGCATTTTCTACCCCTCCCACCCTACTTCCTCCTGCCAGCCCAGTCCCTCGGATCAAGTGGAGAAAGCTGGATGACTCACTGCCCACACAATGGGCCACTGCAGAGCCCACACTGCAGATCCCCAGCGTCAGCTTCGAGGATGAGGGCACCTACGAGTGTGAAGCAGAGAACTCCAGAGGACGTGACACTGCCAAAGGCCGAATCATTGTGCAGGGTAAGGGGCCAGGGGCATTCCTTGTACTCCAAGCTTCTTCCTCGGGAGCCTCAGACATCAGGCTATAGCTGAGAGGTTGCTGACTGGTTCCACTCATCCTGAAGTACTCTGTGCTCTGAGATATGGAGTGGGGCCATGTTTGAGGAGAGTCCTGAGCAGAGGGCTTGTCTTATCAGCTGATACAAGATAGAAAGGAGTCCACAAAGCAGTAAGAGTAGGGCTTTAAGTCAGGAAAAGAGCAGCATCTTTGCAGAATTGCTAAAAGGTAAGCTATGTAAATAGTGCTTTGCAGATTATAAGCTACTATATAAATGTCAGCTATTATTACAATTATAGAGGCAGTGTGGCTCAGTGGATAGATAGCTCAGCCTTGAAGCCAGGAAGACCTGAGTTCGAGCACTACCCCTGACACATACTGGCTGTTTGACCCTGGGCAAGTCATTTAACTTCTCAATGCTAGTGCTTAGCACAGTGCCTGGCATATAGTAGGTGCTTAATAGATGCTACTGACTGAGGTTCCCAATATGGTGCTCAAAGCACTTCTGTAAGTTTATAAAACTATGAGTTTCAGAGAAGGTACTAACCTAGAAGGACTTTTCCTCACCAAGCAGTTCCTTATACCGGGGAAATCACAGGCCCAGTCCCAATGATTACAATTATAGTTTTTGTTATGAATACCACTACTAAATACCAACTCCGAAAATACCTACTTCCTCCTTCCTGGTTGCATTTTAATCCCTAGATATGCTCCTGGTGCCCTCTGCTGTTAAGCATGGGTACTACGTCACCAAAGTTATCCCCATAAAGCTCTCTCTCTCTCTTGAAGTACCGTCTCACTCGCTCCTCTCTCCACCAGCTCAGCCTGAGTGGCTCAAGGTCATCTCAGACACCGAGGCTGACATTGGCTCCAATCTGCACTGGGGCTGTGCAGCTGCTGGCAAGCCAAGGCCCACAGTTCGGTGGCTCCGAAATGGGGATCCCCTGTCCTCCCAGGTAGGAATGCTAGAGGTGGGTAGGCAGCTTGGCTCTGAAGAGCAGAGACCATAGAGGGTGTCTCCCTGAGACATGTACAGGGCAGCTTCATCTGCTGACAGAGTTAAACCCCATTAAAGTGAGTGCTTGGGAGACCATTAAGCTTATGTCCTGCAGGCTTCAGAGTTTTCCTGGCACACAGGCACTTGCCCACTTCCTTAGGCTGGCTAATGGCCATGAGCAAATGCTCATAGTCAAAGAGGTCCATCCTGTGGTGTAGCAGAAAGCTGTCCAGTTGGGAGACTATGTTCCACCTCTAGTCCTTCCACTAAGTAGCTCTGTGGACCTGAGTAATTCACTTTATCTCTCTGGGCCTCAGTTTCTTCATCTGTAAAATGAAGGGGTTGAATTGAATTATCCTTCTAGTTCTAAACTTTATGCCTTGATTCCTTAAGGGCCTAGAACTAATCAGAATGTCCTAAAATTAGCACCTAATGCTATCTTCCAATGATTTACATCAATGGTTCTAGGCTTTCATTAAGTGTCTCAGCCCCTGGTCCTGCGGCTCTGAGCACATCCTCTTTCACTCCTGAATCTCTTCTCCCATCCTGGTCTGTTGCACAGAACCGTATGGAGATTTCTGGTGGGGACCTGAAATTCTCCAAGCTGGTCCTGGAGGACTCTGGCATGTACCAGTGTGTAGCAGAAAACAAGCATGGCACCATCTATGCCAGTGCTGAATTGGCAGTACAAGGTAAAAACTACAACCTGTCAGTCTTACCCCTTCCACCCAGGGAAGAAGAAGATTTCATGTTCCAGAAAACATTCAATAACTTTTTAAAAGTTGCACAGGTAACATCAGGGACTAGGACTCCAGGAGTTGTGATTTCACAAGATGAATTAGGCTCATTAAATACATAAAAATACTAATAATTTGCTAAATTCTGCCACTTCTGAGTGGAGGGATTTTTTAAAAAAATAAGATATGGAGAATAAAATAAGAATGTTAAGAAAATAGATTTCAACTGGTTTAGTAGTTGGTGGAGGAAAGAAGGAAATTTTCACCCCCCCCACCATACAAGTCTCACTGATTGTTGCTTTGCAAATGTCACCAGCATCTAAGAACCTCTAAGGCTATAAATTCTAGATTATAAGGGGACTGATCAATTGACGTCTTCACCTCTAATCTCCCATCTTCTAATTCAGCCTGCCTCCTAATCTGCTTTTATTCAAATACTACCCCCCTTCAATATCCAGCTAACCCCTCACCACCTCCTTGAAGCCTTCCCTAACCACCCAAGGCAACAATGATCTCTTTCTTCCTTGAACTCTCCTATAGCAATGGATAATGACTGAACTGGAGTCTCAGAGTTTGCAGGGATCCTCTGAGAGGCCATGTAGTCCAGTCTGTACCTGACTGAGAAGCACTCCCACCACGGGCTCATCCAACTTTGACTAGAATATCTCAAGTGACAGGGACCTCATTACCTCCCAAGGCAGCACCTCCCACTTTTAGACAGCTCTAGTTAAGAAGTTTGTTCTTATATTAAGAGTTGAATTGAATCACCTAGTCTAAGGAGTTGTCACTATGGCAGTTCTTACCATTAAAAAAAAATCTTTTTTTTTTCCAGCTTTTGCTCCTGATTTCCGGCTGAATCCAGTAAGGCGTCTGATCCCAGCTGCTCGAGGGGGAGAAGTTATTATCCCATGCCAGCCCAGGTCAGCTCCAAAGTCCATTGTGCTCTGGAGCAAAGGGACTGAAATCTTAGTCAACAGTAGCAGGTATGAGCTTCCTGGACTATTCCTCCTCCTCTTCCTTCCTACCAGTTCTTCTTCCCCCACTTCCTCTTCTTCCTCCTTCCTTTTACCTCTTCTTTCTCTGTCTCCTTATCTTGTTCCTCCTCCCTGTTCTCAGGAATAAGTCCCCCTCCTTTTGAGTCTCAGATATCCTTAGAGCAGCCAATCTCTAGCCCTTTTCATTCTTTCTCTGATGCAGAACGACTATTACCCCAGATGGTACTTTGATCCTTCGGAACATCAGTCGGTCAGATGAAGGGAAATACACTTGCTTTGCAGAGAATTTCATGGGCAAAGCCAACAGCACTGGCATCCTCTCTGTCCGAGGTAGGGACCACAAGGAAAGCTGGGAAGGAGAGACAATCCTGCCACTCTGTTAACAAAGTGATCACCAATTCAATTCAGTTCAATAAACGTTATAAGACACCTATGTTAGAGGTAGCTACCATAGGGGTCACCTCTCCATGCAGTCCTATTTCTAGTTTCTATCTTTGGTTTTCTGTCCTCTTGAGCTGGTTTGGGGGCTGGCCTAAGAGTTGTGTTTGACATGGGAACACCTATACCCTTTCCTAAGTCCAGCCCCCTGATTTCCCAAGCTGTGTGAAGCAGTGGTACCAATTCACAAAACAGTTTCAGTCACACTGTTGGGGCTGATGGCACATCCTCCCACCCTGCCCTGCTCCCAGGTCACCCCAGTGACACAGGCTCAAACATGTGCTCACCCCACTCTGTCTGGGCTCCCTCACTCCCCTTGTCAGATGCCACCAAGATCACCCTGGCACCATCCAGCGCGGACATTAATCTGGGCGAGAACCTGACTCTGCAGTGCCATGCCTCCCATGACCCTACTATGGACCTCACCTTCACCTGGGCCCTAGACGGCTTCCCCATTGACTTGGATAAATCTGGTGGCCACTACCAGAGAGCCAGCTTGGTGAGTCCTAGGGCCAAGTGCCATTCTCAATGACCCTGAGAAGTCCAGGGGACCAAGGAAAGGCTAACCTTTGACCATTAATCCCATCCCTCCGTCCCTGGGCTGAGTTGATTCAAATCCAGGTTCTCACATCTAGTAGCTACATGACATGGGTAAGTCACTTAATTTCTGATTTCAGTTTCCTCACCTCTAAAAAAAAGGGGGAGGGGTTAATAATACTTATATTATTTCCCTCACAGGGTTGTTGTGGGCTATAGAAAAGGGAGTTTCTAGTATTCTCCTTATGTAAACAATCTCCCTTCCTAGGGCAGCTAAGTGGTACAGTGGATACAGCACCGGCCCTGGAGTCAGGGAGGACCTGAGTTCAAATCTGGTCTCAGATATATAACACTCACTAGCTGTGTGACCCTGGGCAAGTCACTTAACCCCATTGCCTAGGGCCCCCACCCAAAAAAAAGAATTATTCCTTAAATTAGAAATGGGCAAGTGAAAGCTAATGATTCTATGAGACATCAAGAATCAATCAAACAAAATCAAAAGAATGAAAAAAAAATAACCTCACTTCCTTTCTTGACCAGCTATTTCTTGAGGTTCTACAAGTGAATGAAACACTCTGTGAATCCTTTGTGTCAAATACAAAATCCCCCTGCTACCCAGCATGCTTTTGGATTTTTTTCCCAGGACCAGGCAACATTGGTTCATTTTTAATATAATCCTAGACCAAATAGAAACAGGAAAATCATTCTAATTTTTACAATGCAGTCTAAAGACTAATCAAAATACTTAGGTATATTTTGGTTATCTGCCCTTTGGGATTTTCTACATCACCGCAACAATGTATGTTTTCCCTTTCCTTCTCCCTATAGTTTGAACAAATAAATGGAAAATAGCTATATTTCTAAGAAACTGCATTCCCAAATATTTTTCTATACATCATTTCATTTTATCTTGGGTAGTATGAATCTCTCCATTGAGCAGATGGGGAAGCTGAGTCCTGTAGTGAGATTCACGAGCTTTTCCCCGGGTCACCTAAGGAACTGGCATCCTAGCCCAGTACTCCCTCCACTTTTGAGCTCTGTCCTCTGACCTTGACTCTTTCCCTGTCTCCCCTCTGTGCAGAAGGAAACCATTGGGGACCTGACGATTCTAAATGCCCAGCTGCGCCATGGTGGGAAGTATACGTGTATGGCCCAGACTGTAGTAGACAGCACATCAGAGACTGCGACCCTCCTGGTTCGAGGTGACTGATCCTTGATCTGGCTCTTCCTGGACCTCTGTCCCCCAGAGCCAGGCCCATCCTACCATCTCTACTCCTCCCTCCACAAATTCTTGTCTGGGTTCTCCGATGAGTCTTTAGAATAGGGTATTAGGGGCAGCTAGGTGGTGCAGTGGATAGAGCACTAGCCCTGAAGTCAGGAGGACCTGAGTTCAAATCTAGCCTCAGACCAAACACTTAACCCCAATTGCCTAACGATGGATAGATAGATAGATAGATAGATAGATAGATAGATAGATAGATAGATAGATAGATGGATGGATGGATAGAGAATAGAGTATTACCTGCTGCCCTTCCTGTGCCCCATAAAGGAGTGAATGAATACTGGTTTTCAGGGGCCACAGTTTTTTAAAAGTCTATTTTGTTAAGGAGTTGAGGCTTTTGGAGAAAAGTTGCCTATGATCCTGAATGCAGTCCTGTTTCCTGGATGGATGTCTCCAAGCCCCTTTTAGGCTTTGGTTTTAGGACCGGCATGTGTACCTACCACACAATACAACCACACACATGGCCTGCTTTCTTCTTCCTAAACACCACCTGTTAAAGCATCCTAATAGTGCCCTCTAATGACCCATCAAGGTACCGCATGCCTTCAAGACAGGCTCCTGAATCAGTCTGGGGTCTGAATCCTTAATCCTAACCCTCCTCCAATTCCACGACAGGTCCTCCAGGTCCTCCTGGTGGAATAATGGTGAGGGACATCAGCAACACCACTGTCCAACTAACTTGGAGCCGAGGCTTTGACAACCATAGCCCAATAGCCAAGTATATCCTCCAAGCCCGATCCCTGCCTGATGGAAAATGGAAGCAGGTCCGGACCAGTAAGTATCTCTGGGGCTGCCCGACCTGAGCTAATCACACTGTAACATGGGCTTCCAAGCCCCATCCAGCTGCCTTTTCTCCTACCATCTCCCATCCCAGCTCCTAGCATTCATCAAGTCCATTCATTCATTCATTCACCTTACTTACTGAACACCTAGTACGTGCAATGCCTTGTAGAAGGTGCAAAGATAATAGATAAATAAAACACTGTTTCTGTTCTGGGGAGCTTAGTGTATTATAAGGGAGATCAGATTTGTATACTACAAGAAGGTTCCAGAAGGAGCCTTAGAGATCATTTACTACAATGTCTTCCTTTTAGAAAGGACGAAAATGAGAACCAGAGAAGGAAAGTGAGATCCAAGATCACACAGCAAGTTAGAGGGCTACCCAGTGTAGTGGATAGAATGCTGGACTTGGAGTCAGAAAGATCTAAGTTTGAATCCCACCTCAGTCACTAACTCTCAGATCCTCTCAGCCTCAGTTTCCTCATGTGTAAAATGGAGATAATAAGAGAACCTACCTCTGCAAGGGTTGTCGTGAGAATCAATTCGACTGGGGTGTACTGGAGCCATCCCTAATGCTCACAGGAGCCGACTGACAAGTTCGAGCATTTACACTGGGAAATTCACAAATGCTTCAAGTTGGGGCTTGAGTTACTGTTTTGTTGGTTGTCTAGACTTAAGGAAGTGATGGGAAAATGGTAATGATACAGATTAAACTTAAAAGTGTGTCATGGTTAAAACTTTTTTTGAGAACTAATTGTAGAACATTTACCAGCAGGTTCCCAATATTTTTTCAGATTTTATTTTATTTTCACATCCGAATCATCTCACTCCTGCCTCTCCCTTCCCCACTCATTGACACAGCCCCCTAATCAAATGAGATAACGCGTGTAAAATGTTTTGGATATCTTAAAGCACTATATAAATCCTAGCTATTATTAATAGTTGATGTTAATTATTAATATAATTCACACACAATCATCATTGCTCCTATTATTGTTACTCATGGCAAAGCAGAGACCAGAAGGTGAATGTCCTTATTCCAGGTCCAACGCTCTTCTCACTGAAGCACACTACCTTATCTTCAGAGACTGACGGGTAGATAGCATGTTGTGCTTTGTTTGCCTTACAGATCCTGCCAATATTGAGGGGAATGCAGAGACTGCTCAGGTGCTTGGCCTCACCCCCTGGATGGACTATGAGTTCCGGGTCTTTGCCAGCAACATCCTAGGCACAGGGGAGCCCAGTGGACCCTCTAGTAAAATCCGGACCAAGGAATCAGGTCTGGGGTTTGTAGCTTTCTGGAAAAAAATGTGAGGGTGGAGACAGAGGCATTGGCACTCCAACTTGGGGAGGGGTGAGAAGGAAGAAGCCCAGGCCTAAGAGCAAGGACTCGGGCTCTAGAACTGAAAAGGAAATCACTGAAGGTCTTGCCTGTGACGGTGGGAAGATATGATGATCTAGATGGTCTATGAGGGCCCTTCCCACTGAGATTCTGAGGTTGAGCAATATTGGTGGCAGCCTGGAGACATTGAGATAAATTGATGGGAGAGGGAACTTAGACTGTATCTCCCTTTCTCTCCACTTCTCAGCACTCAGACAACTAATGTCCAGAAGGATGTTTTGATGAAGAATCACACTATCCCCTCCATCACTACCACCACTCCTCACCCAACTATATTCAGAAAGGGAATCAGAGTCATAGAATCTCATCATTGGAAGCGAGCTCCTAGCTAAGAAAGAATTCCCTCTTCATCATCTTGACAAGTAGTCATTCCATCTCTACTTGAAAGAGTAGATGGCTCTAGTTGTTAAGAAGTTTTTTCTTTATTATATTTTATTTTCTCAAGTTTTTCTTTACATCATAGAAATCTACCCCACTGCCAATTCTACTCTTTGCTCTTAATTATTCAAAACAAGAACAATCACCTCCTTCCAAATGCAGTAATATTTATAAAGCACTTTGCGAATCTTAAATCACTCTGTAAATGCTAGGTATTACTATCATATTACTATCTCATGGCCCTTTGAATACTTGAAAATAGCTACCATGTCTCCCCTATCTCTGTCCTTCCTAAACTATGAGTAATACTCTAGATAGATAGAGAGAGAGAGAGAGAGAGAGACAGAGACAGAGAGAGAGAGAGAGAGAGAGAGAGAGAGAGAGAGAGAGAGTGTGTGTGTGTGTGTGTGTGTGTGTGTGTGTGTGTGATAGCTATTTTCAAGTCTTTGAAGGACTCTCACATAAAAGAGACTCGACTTGTTTTTGTGGCCCCATAGGACAGAATTAGAACAAATGAGTAGAGGCTGGACGGCTAGATATTGTACAGGTTACATTACAGACTACTTTTGTGTTTGTGTTGGACCCGACGACTGCTGAGATCCCTTCTAACTCTCAAATTCCATTCAGTTGCAAAGAGGCAAAGTGTTGTTTCCTATAAGGGAGATCCTCATAAAGAAATGGAACCATGCAAAGGGAGAATAAGCTGCCTTGGGGGGTACTGGATTCCCCCTGACTGGAGAGGTCTTCAAGTGGAAGCTGGGTGACCACTTTGGGGTTTGGGGGAGGTAGGGGTATGCTATAGAGGGAATCTCGGGTTATGTATACAGACTGAATCAGAAGGCCACTGAGATCATTTCCATCCTGGAAATTCTGTGGTTCTCTCTGTTTTGAAACACCTTACCATTTGATCTTGCGCCACCATTTTCAGTTACCATCTTCTAGAAGCAAGACCTCCTTTCATTGGTCCTTAATTGACTGCTTTGAGGAGGTAGTCCAGGACTTGGTGAGCCACTTGGTGTTCCCGCATTCCTTATCCTGCACAATTTGATTTCATAGACTCCCATCTCTCAGCCTTCATTCACCTTTCCTCTTGGCCCTTGTACCAGCTTTCCCTATAAGGTCCATCTTCTACTTGGTGGTTTATCTCAGAAACATTTTAGTCCTTGGCTACTCCACCCCATCCTACACTGGCCCTCTACCTTCAGCAGGCTACCTCTGCAACCTAGGAGTCAGCTCAACTCTTCTCTCTTCCCTCACCCAACGTATGCAATCAGCTATCAAGTTGATTCGATCTTTACCACATCTCTTAAATCTACCCACTTCTCTTTACCCACCCACACAGTCAGCACACTAATTGAGGCCCTCATTAACTCTCACCTGTACCCTTGCAGTAGACCTCTAAATGGTTTACCTGCTTCTAGTCTCTCTCCATTCCAGTTCATCCTGTATGCTGAAGCCATTGTCCTAAAGTACAGGTCTCATATGTGCATCTGTCTGCCCCTGCTCTCTGCCCCCTGTTAGGCTAGATGAGCTCAGGCAATTTACTCTCATTTTAATATCAGCCTAGGGGAGGTGGGGAGGGAAATACCCTCACTTCTTTTCTGAGGTGGGGGGGGAAGAACTGGCAGAATAGAACACTACATAGAATGTCAAACTTTTCCATTGCATTAATTAATTCTATGAACTTTCCCCTGCTCTCTTTTTGAGTCTTTTTTATGCACTATTACTACTATGGGGGGGGGGTGCATAGAGCTCAGGAGCTTGTTCCATCAGGGCTCTGAGTTTAACCCTGAAGGGATGGTTTCCTTTTCTTTTTTTAATTATACTTTTTCAATTTACAAAAATCAATGTTCTCTCCCTCCCACCCTTCCCATCTTTGCAAAGTAAAGTAAAAATGAAATACTTGTAATAAATATGCACTGCCTAGCAAAACAAATTCCCACGCAGGATGAGGTGGAATGACTTGATTGATGTACTCAATCAACCCCCACCTTTATACACGTGCAAGACATGGCTCTGGGAGGGAAAGGAAAAAGATATACTAAGAAATATACATAATATAAAAACAGAAGATACCAATAAAAATTCATTGGCCCAAGCAGAAGAGGATGAGGAAAGGAAAGCAACCATCAAGAGAAAAAAAAATAATGTACTTTGGACCAAAACTAAATGGAGTTTTTTTGCTTGTTTAACTTAACAACTATTTAGGTTATTCCTTCTCCTTAGTTACCTTAGAGGTAATTCTAGTTGGCCTCCGCCCCTTAGGAGAAGACAAAAAATCTGTCCAGCTGGATCCTAGGGGGTTCAAGTAGAGACCCTTTGCTCCCCTCTTGCCCACTAATAACAGAGGTTGACCTAGCTATAAGAGCTCTAAGATCTCTATACAATTTCCTCACAACATAGCTGTTCAGAAAGTGGTGTGTTATTAACGGATCAAATCTGTATCTTTTAATGTCCATGGTAGAATCCTTGGGTCTCAACAGTGTGTTATTAACAGATCACATTTATGTCTTTTAATGTTCCCTATAGCTCCCACGGTAGCACCGTCTGGACTCAATGGAGGAGGTGGTGCCCCTGGTGAACTCATTATCAACTGGACGGTGAGCAGAAGAGAGACCTTGGCTTTAGGAATAAGTTCTGCTTGTAGGTCATAGGTTTAGAGCTGGAAGGGACCTCAGAGGTCATTGAGTCCACTCGTCTCTCATTTTACAAATGAATAAACTGAGGTAGACAGAGGCTGAGTGACTTGCTCAGGGTCACACAGCTAGTAAATATCTGAGGCAGAATTTGAACCTAGGTCTTCATGATTCCAGAGCCAGTTAGTACTGTGCTGTGTCCTCCTCTTCTTCTTATTTAAGCAAACTTTAGGAGACGTGAGAGGTAGGTTCAAAGAGTTCAGAAGAGAGGAGAGCTCTAGGGGCTGCCAAGTGCCGGGTGAAGGCTAGACAGCAAACCACCTGCCCCTTATACGCTTGGATCTGTTCCACCATTGCAGAGCTCTTTAGCAGGGTCTTTGGTCTCGCCCATGCTAGACACATAAATCTTGATTCTGTGATTTGAGGGGTGATTGGAGAGGAGGACATGGCTTAGGATGACTGGATTTAGACCTGGAAGGGCCCAAAGAGGTCATCTGACCCCTCATCTTACAGGGGAAGCTGAGGTCTGGAGGTAGAAAGTGACTGCCCAAGGACACCAGGCAGCAATGCACAGGACCAGAACTGAAGCCAGGACCTTTGTCCCCGATTCTCCATGATGTCCCGGACCCCCTAACTCTCTGCTCTTGCCACCCCTACAGCCCATTTTGCGGGAATACCAGAATGGAGAAGGCTTTGGCTACCTTCTGTCCTTCCGAAGACAGGGCAGCTCAGACTGGCAGAGGGCCAAGGTCCCCCACGCCGATGCACTGCACTTTGTTTACCGGAATGAAAGCGTCCGGCCCTACACACCCTTCGAAGTCAAGATCCGGGGATACAACCGCCAGGGAGAGGGGCCTGAGAGCCTCACCACCATCGTGTACTCTGCTGAGGAAGGTAGGCTTCACCACGAGGGCTCCCAAACTCTCTTGCTTCAGCAAGTGTGTGCTGGAGGACCAGGGATTAAATACTTCATCCCCAATAATCTCCCATCCTGATCACCCAAGGGCAGAACCCAAACCCGAGGAAAACAATATGCCTTTAAAAAGGAATTGGCCCTGGGCCTTGTTTCTAAGCAGCTGGTGAGAATAGTTGGGTAATATGTGATGGTTGCCAGGAAAATGCACTGGTTCTACAGGAAATATATATGAATATCTGGCTGCCTTGGAGTTCAATTGTAGGATCTCCACCGGGCTGGGGAAGATTTGGTTCCTGCTCAAGTGGGCCACAGTCCCTAAGAAAAATCTGTGGTGGTGAGAAGACACCCAAGGACCGAGGTGTAGGGCTCCCCCCATATATAACACTGGTTAACCCCAACAACCTAATCACTTCCCATGTTGGTCCTTAGAGCCCAGGGTGGCCCCAGCCAAAGTCAAGGCCAAGGGGGTTTTGTCCTCAGAGATGGATGTGATGTGGGAACCAGTACATCAGGACGACATGAACGGGGTCCTCCTAGGGTATGAGGTAAGCATTGCTCCCCTCCCAAATAGAAGGCAATTAGTAGGATAATCTAGGTCTCTGCCCATCAAGGTGTGAAGCCATCACCTAGAACTCCCCACCCCTACACCCCTGGATAAGACCCAGGAGGTTCTGGTCCTACACAGACAGGACAGAGCAGGTGACCATGGTCCCCCTTTAAAATGTTATTCTACCAGAGCTGTTCCTAGGAACTCTAGAACTCAGTAGTGTGTGCCCTGTGGCACTGGAAAGGTTTCTTAAGCACAATGGAATTTAGAGCCAAAAAGGAGCCTTAGATAATGTAGTCCAACCCCCTTATTTTATAGGGGATTTACCCAAGGTCATCAAGGTAGTAAGTAATGTTGCGGTCTGAGAGGTTCAGAGATCCCTCAAAGACTAGAGTACAGGACAGGATTGCCTGAAATTGCTTCACGGACTCAAGCATTCTTTAAGTCAAGTTGGCAAAGATTTATTGTTACGCTTTTCAGTGGATAAGGATTCTTAAGGAACCTGGAACCTTAAAGGGGTACAGTTAAAGTTTATATAGGATTAAACCATAGTAAAACATGTACCAAATATGCCAACTAGGTGATTCATGGGAAGGATTAGGGAGTGGTTATGGAATGGTCAGTTCTTAAAGGAACAGGCACTTTTTGTATCTATTGCACAGGTGTTTTACCCAGAGTTCACCAGGAAAAGCCCAAATTGGGACTACAGGGAGGTGTGGTTTTTAGGTCTGCTACGTCACTAAGTTAACTAGGGGTCAGGGCAACTGAGTGTTGCCCAATCTGCCACCAATCAATGTCTTTTTGACAAGATAGATGTAGGGAGTATACATATGTCTTCAGTCTAGAATACACATAATGAGGAGTCCAGGATGGAGATAATGAGGTAGGGAGGTGGTATAGATGTTCCAGTGGGTATGAATAGCTTTACGACCTAGTGCAAAGCCAGCTCAAACTAATAATTCCTTCAGGTGCAGTTTGTAACTGCACCAGGGAGAGGGATAAGTGTGTTGCTGAGACTCACTCATGAGTAATTGCTAGGCATAGTGCCCTTGAGCTGGGGAGAAACTGCCAGGGATAGTGTTTGAGGAGGCTAGGGAGTACTATGGTCTTGGAATTGGGGTCCCGGTACAAGCACCCAAGCACCCCATCAATAATATAGAGGAGATTTGAACCTAGGTCTTATAATGATCTGGAAGAAAGAATCTGAGTGAGGTAGAAGATGAATCAGAAATGAGAAAAAAGCAGAACTCATGCTTAGGGGAGTAATGATCATAATAGTAATGGCAGCTAGGTGGTACAGGGCATGAAGTCAGGAAGTGCTGAGTTCAAATCCAGCCCCAAACACTACCAGCTGTGCGACCCTGGCCAAGCCAACTGACTTCTGCTTCAATTTCTTCATCTGCAAAATGACCGTAATGGCAGTGCCTACCTCCCAGGGTTGTTGTGAAGATCAGATAAGACAAGCGCTTAGCACAGTGCCTAGTAGTAAGTGCTATATAAATGTTAACTATTATTATTAATAACAATGATATAACATTTATTTAATATTTAAGACTTTAAGATTTACAGAGTCTTTTAATTTCAATGAAGCCTCACAATAATCCTGAAATGGGCTACTATAGGCATTATTATCCCCATTTTACAGATAAGGGTACTGAGACTCAGAGAAGTTTAAGGGAATTGCCTAGAGTCATATAACTAGTAAATTTCAGGGACAGAATTCAAACCCAAGTCTTTCTGACTCCAAGTAGAACATTCTATCCACTGCCACTCTTCATTCAAGAGAAAAAGAATCAGGCAATAAATAATGCATGCCACTACCAAACCTCTCTGGTCTACTGTAATGGAAGAAGTCAAAAGAAGGAAGGCTTCAGCCTTTTTGGTAGGAAGGGTAGATCCCCTTTGAAGAACTGATAGCAAGGCATGATTTTGTTGTTCAGTTGTTTCAGTCATGTCCAACTTTTTGTGACCCCATTTGGAGTTTTCTTGGCAGAGATACAGGAGTGTTTTGCCATTTCCTTCTCCAGTTCATTTTACAAATGAGGAAACTGAGGTAAACAGGGTGAAGTGACTTGCCCAGGGTCACACAGCTAGTAGGTGTCTGAGGCCTGATTTGAACTCAGGTCTTCCTGACTCCAGGGCCGGTGCTCTATCCACTGTTACTTTCCATGAGATCACAGAGCCATTCAAATTTTGAACTTAATAGAGTTAATTACTCCATGATGTGGGTAAAGTAGACCTGAAGATATCCTAATAGTCATTTGCCCTTGGTTTGAAAATACAACAGGAGCACTGGCTTTTGAGTCAGGGGACAAGTTCAAGTCCTGGTTTTCTATCTTACTTGGCCTGGCACCTGAGACAAGTTCATCTCTGTGAGACCTCAGTTTCCTCATTTGTAAAATGGGTATAATAATTCCTACCCTACTTCCCTTACAAGACTGTTGTATGAGCCCCATGAGACAACAGATGTGAAAGCATCTTGCAAATGTAAGGGACTGTCATTTTTTCTCCGGCTTTCCCTTCCTGATTACTCAACAAGCATTTATTAAGCACCTCCTGTGTACCAGACACAGAGCTAAATACCGGGGATAGAAGAAAAAGCAAAAACAGTCACTGCCCTCAAGGAGCCTACGTTCTAATGGGGAGACCACACATATGCACACACATATATTTTTCCTATAGGTGTACATACACGTGTGTGTGTACACACACAAAATGACTACAAGTTAGGCGGAAGTAGCCTCAGAGGGGAGGGCACCAGCAGCCAGGGAAACAGGAAGGGCCTCCTCAGGAGGCGGCACTTAGAAGGAGGACATTCCAGATGTGAGGAGAGTCAGACCAAAAGCACAGGGACAAGAGGTGTCTTGTATAAGGAATATCAAGCAGGCCAGTATGGATGGATTGTAGACTTCAGAGGCGGAGGAGGGGGAGGAAGGAGGACTGGGAAGGCACAAAGGGGCCAGAAGACAGAGGAGCTGCTATTTGATCCTAAAGGTAATAGAAAGCCATTGGATTCTACCAAGTAGGGGGATGAGAAGGGAGGGAGGGCGGAATTAAGGATGGCACCAAGGTTGCAAACAGACAAAGATGGTGGTGGTGATATGGGACTGGAGGTCGGGAGAGGGACCAGATCTGGATAAATAGATCTGGTAATCATCAGAAGAGCTCAGAGAGAAAAGAGGAAAATGCCCTGGCAGAGCCTTTGCGGGGGGGGGGGGGGGACGGACACTATCTACAGTTAAGGAGTATGATATGGACCCAGAAAAGACAACCAAGGACAGGTAGGAGAGAAACCCAAAAGAGAAGAGAATATCTAGGAAGTAAAGAATGTGGTCAGTAGTGTTTGATGCTGTAGAAAAATCAAGAAGGATGAAACCAGGAAAAGGCTATTAGATATGGCAACTAAAAGATCATTGTTATCTTTAGGAAGAGTAGCTTCACTTGAATGATGTGATCAGAAGCCACATTACATAGTGTTTAGAAGAGAGGAAGTGGAGAGGAAGTGGAATCACCTACTGCCAAGACTTTAAGGAGTTCAGCCACAAAGGGGGACGGGAAGACATAGGACAATAACTATCAAGGATAGTCAGATTAAGTGCGGGCTTTTTAAGTTGGGGAAAACTTAAGTTTGTTTGAAGGCAGAAAAGAAGGATAGGGTACACGTATAGCCTATATCAGATTGCATGCCATCTTGGGGGAGGGGTGAGGGTGAGGAATTTAGAACTCAAAATCTTATAAAAGTGAATGTTGAAAACTAAAACTAAATAAATTAATAAAAAAGAAAGAAAAGAAGGATAGGGGAAGCTTGAAGATTAGCAGAAAATGAGAATGATTGTAGAGGCAATCTTTTGGAAAAGACAGGAGGGTATGGGAGTAAGAGTGTATGGAGAGGGGTAGGTGTTGGCAAGCAAAAGGATCGCCTGGCCACATCATTCAATAGTGGAGTGAATGAGGAGGTAGTAAGGGATGGTGTCAGAGGGGAGAAGGAGATCCAGCTGTATGTCCTCAAATTTCTAGGGGAAATATTAGATGAGGTCCTTAGCTGAGAAGGGATGGGGGAAAATGGAAGAAGAGGTTTGGAATAGCAGTTGTAGTGAATAGGATAGGAAATCAATTGAGAGGATGAGTGGGATTACTACAGGGAGAGTCCAGTAGGATTACTACAGTGCCTTAATACATTGAGAGTCCAGTTATTGATTAGTTACTTGCATCCAATCAACACCGTTTCATCATTTTCTCCAGTTCCATTTAATAATGTTCAATAGTAGGAGAGAAGATGAATAGTGAAAGTAATCCAACATTAGGATTTGGCAAGGCATGATCAGCAATAGGACAGGAACAAAGTTTTCAAGAATAGGGCATAGAGGTAAACGAGGGGTGGAGATCAGAATTGGGGAAGAGTGTAGCTAGAGCAAAGGAGATAGATGGCCTGGGATATTACAGAGGAATGGAGGAACTGAAGGTCATGGTGAGGACGAAGAGTGAGTTTAGGAGGAGTATGGAAAGATGGAAGAGATAGAAAGAAAAAAGATTATAAGATAAAGAGAGTTTAGAGTTCTTAAACTTGGAAGTGGGACACTTGTGAGTGATGGTAATGATAATTAGACAATATTAAAATGAGTTTGTGTATGCTGAGCACTACCCAAAGCTTGCTGAGTGTCAGGGGATAACTGGGATAATGGGATCATTGACAAGTATATCGTTGTCCTAGTTCGTGATATGAATGTGGCTCCTGAGAAACTCTTCCTGAAGAAAACCTCTCTGGGCCTCTGTTTGTTCATCTATAAAATGAGAGGGTGGGCTAGTTGATGTCTAAGATTCCTTCCTGCTCTGTGATTGTATGATTTCTTAAGACCCCTCTAATTTCATTAAATGAGGCTGAGTTTTAGTTGTCCATTTTCAAGGATGACCTGCAGTCACCCCCTGTTTCTGGGTCCCAGCTCCCAATCCCTGGCCAAAGCCACAAAGGAAAATGGGGATAAGCTGGGTGTTCTGGCTTCTGTAGATCCGCTACTGGAAAGATGGAGACAAAGAGGCAGCAGCTGACCGAGTGAGGACAGCAGGACTCGACACGAGTGCCCGGGTCACTGGCCTGCAACCCAATACCAAGTACCATGTGACAGTTCGGGCCTACAACAGGGCAGGCACTGGGCCTGCCAGCCCCTCTACCAATGCCACCACCATGAAGCCCCGTGAGTCCACAGTCAGAGCAATCACTTGGATGAGGGGACGGGGAGGGCCCATTCTCGCTAAGAAAGCCCTGCTGAGCACATAGGCACTGGTTCACAAGCTGGGGGAGGAAATAAGATATTAAACCAAAAGGAAATCAGCAACTGAGGCCTCCTCTTTCTTTTTATTTATTGTTTTTCCTAGACTTTGTTTCTCGGGGGGAGCCTCTGAGCATCTCTGGTGAAGGCAGGTGGTGGTGTCTCCTGTGCCCAGGGGAAGGGTGGCTGGGAGGGACAGTGCTGCCTTTCTCTGCTCCTATGACCCCTCGCTGTCCCTAACCCTTTCTGTTTCAGCTCCCAGACGACCTCCGAGTAATATCTCCTGGACACTCTCCAGTTCCAGCCTCAGTATTAAGTGGGACCCTGTCATCCCTCAACGAAATGAGTCTTCGGTCACCGGCTACAAGGTAAGTACTCTGCCAGGAAACCCCTAAAATAGGAATGGAAAGTAGCAGCTACTTTGTGCTTCCCCTAATGACCAGAAGCTATCTCATGCAGGAAGAGGGGTCTGGGAATATTTACTGATTCTAACAGTCAGGAGAAACCGAAATGGATCACTAGGGAACATAGTGAAAATGCATTAGAAAAGGAATCTCAAAGTAACTGAAGGGTGTGGTGTGGTCAGGAGCTAGAGGCCGGCAGATGGACTAGCTAAGCCCCAGATGTTCCCAGCTGTCCTAAGAGTTCTGGCATGTGCTTAATCACTGATAATTCTTTTCACTTAGTTCTTCCAGTGGGCGGGTGCTAGGAGCAATCAATCAACCAAGTATTTATTAAGCACCTACTATGTGCCAGGCCCTGGGGTATAAGTACAAAGAAAGAAACAATCTCTACTGGTAAGGAACTTGCATTCTAATGAGTGAGACAAGTACATATAAAAATATACAGCATCAGTACAAAGCGAAGGAATACAGAGACAAAGAGTTAAAAGCAAGATAATTGAGGAGGGAGGGCACTGACATTTGGGAGAACTCAAAAGAGTATGGGCTCAGACAATGATGCTTCAAGAAAGAGGACTGCGAGGTGGAGGCAAGGACAGACTGCATTCTGGGAATATGGGATGGCCAGTGCAGAGGATGGGAGATGGCGTGCCATGGGTGAGGAAGAAATAGAAGGCCTGTCTGGCCGGACCACAGAGTGCAGGACAGGGAGTAGAGGTTGGGCCAGCTTGCGAAGGGCTTTGAAAGCTCAACAGAGGATTGTCTATGAGAGAGGGTAGGAAGCTACTCGAGTTGATTGAGTCAGGGAGTTACTTGGTGAGAGACAGAGACAGAGAGAGAGACAGAGAGACAGAGAGAGACAGAGACAGAGAGAGACAGAGACAGAGAGAGACACAGAGAGAGAGAGAAGACACAGAGACAGAAACAAAGAGAAACAGAGACAGAGGACAGAGACAGAGAAACAGAGAGACAACAAAGTGTGTGTGTGTGTGTGTGTGTGTGTGTGTGTGTGTGTGTGTATTCCTCTGTATCATATAGGTAGGAAGGAAGGAAGCATTGATTAAGTACTTACTATACACCAGGCACTATGCTAAGGACTAGGGATGCAAATACAAGTGAAAAAGAAAGACAATCTCTGCCTTCAGGAGATTACATTTTAATGAGAGAAGACAACATACAAAAATTTTCTTCCACAAAATGACTAATATGGAAATATTTCACATGATTGCACACGTATCACTTATGTCAGATTGCTTACTGTCTCAGGAAAGGAATGTGGGAGAGGGAGGGATAGAACTTGAAACTCAAAACTTAAAAGAATGCAAAAGGATGCTTGTAAATGTAATTGGGGAAAACAAAATATTATTTTTGTAAAATCAGCTGAAAGGTAGGAGGGAGAGGGGATGAAAGCAAAGCCAACAAGAATAAGCAGGGAGGGGGGAGTAGAAATGAAGGTAAAGTAGAAATAAAGAAATATATATATACATATATACTAGATGTATATAAAGTCTTCATTATACATTCATATATACACATGTACATAATATACACATAATGGCATTTATTAACACTTTAAGGTTTTTGAAGTACTTTACAAATGTTAATCTTATTTGAGCCTCACAACAATTCTGTGAAGCAGATGCTATTATTATCTCCATTTTACAGATGAGGAAACAGAGGTAGAGGGTGAAGTGTCTTGACTAAGGTCACACAACTAGTGCGTGAGACTAGCTTTGAGCTCATGCCTTCCCAACTCCACGACCTGCACTCTTATTTACCAAGCTACCTGTCTACCATTCACTGGCTAGAAGAGTCATGAGATTCTAAAACATATCACTACAGAACATACTGAAAATGCAAAGTTATTCCTAACAATTCCTGATATTCTGAGCTGTCCAAAAGAGGGATAGGCTGGCTTGAGAGATATAGCTAGAAACCCATTGCTGGAGGTCTTTAAAAAAAGGCTGAATGCCCCTTCATGGCCAGGGATAGTGTAGGGAAGTTCCTATTTCAGGTAGGGATAGGGAGAGGTGACACCTGAAATCTCTTCCACACCTCTTTGAGTGACCAGTGAGGAGTGGCCCATCTAAGAAGAAGCCAGTCTTCATTGGGGAGAGAAGAAACATTCAGAACTTGGGGCCCCAGAAAAGAGAAAGGGTATCAATAAATACATGGGAAAGCCCATCCTTCCTACTTTTTCCTTTTGCATTTTCATTATGTTTCCCCAGTGATACATTTTAGTATCTCATTACTATTATAGCCAATAAATGTTAGGTAGGTGGTACATCGGATAGAGAGTTCTGGGCCTACGGTCAGAAAGACTTGAATTAAAATCCAGCCTCAGACGCTTGTTATGTCCCTAGGCAAGTCACTTAATCTCTTCCTGCCTCAGTTTCCCCATCAGTAAAATGGGGATAATAATAGCACTCACTTCTCTGAGTTGTTGAAGATCAAATGAGATAACATTTGTAAAGTGCTTTGAAAGCCTTAGAGTTCTCTAAATAAATGCTAGTAATTACTATTATTTAATTTTCCTGAGGCCTAACCCAAACACCTCTTGCTGTACTGGTCGTCAGTAGAGGCAAGATAAGCTGCTTTTCAGGGGCCAGCCAGGTGGGTCAGTGGATAGAGCACTGACCCTGGATTCAGGAGGACCTGAATTCAAATCTGGCCTCAGATACATAACACTTTCTAGCTGTGTGACCCTGAGCAAGTCATTTAACCCCATTGCCTAGCCAAAAAAAAAAAAAAAGATAAGCTGCTTTTCAGAGAGCAAAGGTCCCAGGGCCTTATGGGAATGCAGAGGCCACAGCCCCAGTGGAACTCTCTCTCCAGAGGCCAGCTCTCATGGAAGCCAGAGAGCATAGCCCAGGAGCAAATACCTACTGGAGGTCTTTCTACCAGATGCTGTACCGAAATGACTTGCACTCAGCCCCCATACTTCATTTGGCCAACAAGAACTGGATTGAGATCTCCGTCCCTGAGGACTCCAACCATGCTCTAGTGCAGATTCGGGCCACGGGACCGGGAGGTGACGGGATCCCAGCTGAGGTTCACATCGTGAGGAATGGAGGTGCTGCTTCCCACTTTTCTCCCTTCTTCCCACACGTTTCTTCCTTCAGTTCCTCTGCCCATCAGAGCTGAGGCCAGCCCAGTCTACACAACCAAGGAGTGTGTATGTGAGGCTGGCCAGCCCAGCCTTGTCTCCCACTAGGGAGAGAGAAAGCAGGCCCAGTTGGCCCATGCCTGTCATTTTTTGCCCTCTGCTAAGCAGCTCAAGCCTTTTCTCCCCTGTCTCCCCCCTCAAAAAATAATAAAATATCCTGAGACTCAGTGATATATAAGGCTTCCCATTTTACAGAGCAAGAAAGTAGAAGTCCACACCATTTACTGGCACAGTGCTAGACCTGCCACAAACTGGCCATAATTCCTTACCTCCTCTGGGCCTCATTTTGTCATCTTTAAAATGAAAAGGGCTAGACAAAATTATCTCTAAGGTGCCTTCAGGCTCTAAAATTCTAGTATTCACAGATAGAAAGCTGTAAGTACCACCCAGACGTTTCAATACCCAGTCCTGTCTGCAAGTTTAGACAGACTCTCCTAAGAAAAATAATAGCCTCTATTGGAACTTTCCAAATATTGGAGCTTTCTAGTCAGAAAACCTCTGGTCCTTATAACCAGAATCCTAGATAGAGCATTATTAATTAATTAATAGTTAACATTATTAATATGTCCACTTTTCAGAAAAGAAGACTGAGGGTTAGAGGAGTTGAGATCTGCCCATAGTGACATAGTAATTAGGGAAGCCAAGATTGGAGCCTGGGTCTGCTCAGTCCAAGTCCAATGTACTACTACTGAAACAGGGCTTTTTCCAGACTACTTCTAGGTCTGGTCACATTCTGGGAGAATGTCACCCTGACCCAACGTGGTAGGAATCTTGGAAAGCCCACATCCCTTTTGGTTCACCAAACATTTCTATCTGCTGCTTTCAGGCACGAGTATGATGGTGGAGAACTCAGCAGCCTGTCTGGCCCCGCGTCTGGGCACCATCCTCTCCCATTCCCTGGTGATGTTGGCCCTCCTTGGCTACTTGGAGCTCTGATCCTGGCCTCCTGGTCCCTGCCCCCACCCCAGACCTGGACAACAGGACAGATACCTCGGGATGAACAGAGCCAGCTGGCCCCTGGCACACTCTCCCGATGCTAAGGACCTCAACAATTATATTCCCAAGAGGATTGGTTTAAACAGCAACTTTAAACAATACCCTTTTTCTTAGGAGGTAGGACATTTTGTATTGCCAGGGACTGGAACCCAAGAAAGGATTTTTTCCCTCTTTATAACCAGGAGGAAACAGGCACAAAAATCCATGAAAAATAGTGAGCCCAGTATCCTCGTGACCCACTGTCACTGGGGTTTCTGGATGGAAAGAACTAAATGGACATAAGGATGGGGAGTTTTAATATGTGTTCTTTGGACCAATAGAGATGGCACCCTTTAGGGACCCTGGGTATATCTGGATCCTGCTTCCTAGAAGCAGAGGGGTTCAGACACGCCCAGACCCCTTGATACAGCCAAGATGGATCTAGGGCTGGAGAAGCGGGACTGGAAAGCCTGATGCAGACATTCCTCAGCCAAAGGAGGGGGACAGCAGCAGGGCCAAGGACTGCTCACCCCCAGCCTATGGGGGGAAGGGCTTAATACCACCTTTGGCATTTCCTCATCTTTCCGGGCAGCTAAGAGAAAGAACTGAAAATCCCCCAATTCTAAGAACTGCAGAATCCAAAGGGGGTTCCCAGTTACGAGGGGGGAGACGGAGGCAGGAAGAAGACGTTCAAAACTGACCAAAGGTTGCGGCTGCTGGGAGAATGATCTCAGCCAAAAGGCAACCCCAGATTAAAATGAAGCTGCCCCTGGGGTCAAGACACCCCAGCTATTACATTCGTGAGTCCATACAGACAAAGCAAACAGGCTGGGCTTGAGAAGATTGCATGACCAAGGGCTCCATCTTGGGGAAGTGCCCACCCCGTATCCTGTTCCAGGAGTGGGCTCCGGAGCCTGACAATTCTGCCTCAGCTTCCTCCCCTTCTCTTTCTCCCAGTAAATCCTAAGGACCTTTCTTCTAAATATTTAGTTTCCTGGAAGGATCTTTTCCTCTTCCCTTTCTTCTGTTGGGCCCAGAGCTCTAGCCAGGAGGTTTTTGGAAGAATCAGCTTTCAGTATTCTAGAGTCGGGAGTCAAACTGATGGGTGCGAGGGATGTATGTCGGAAGTCACTTTGCCAGGCATGTCCTGGACTGAGCAGACCCAGACTTTCTGTTGCCTTGGAGTGAGTGAGGCCAAAATCAAAAGGGAGTGCTCCAGGGAGTGTCAGGAATAGGCTGCAGCCTAATGAGTGGAAGGAGAAGAGCAGGTTTAACTCCTCTGGGCCTCAGTTTCCCCATCTGTAATAAGAGGAGTTTGAATTAGATGACCTCTAAAGTCTCCAGCCACAACTGGGGCTGCAACAATTTCAAAAATCTGGTTAATGGGGAAAGGGTCGTTGAGGGGAATGGTTGGTACCTTTTCTGAAGCTCCCAGCTAGGGCCCAGCAACTGGGTCCCCAGTCACTCAGGGAGCTACTTCAGCCTCCCTACCCCTGCCTGTATGAGCACATCCATAAGGACATCCTGGTCTATAATCCTCTAATGTAGACCTGCTTTCAAGCCAGCCATCCTTCCTTCCCTTCCCTTCCCTTCCCTCACCCTCTCCTCTGAGGTCAGCTAAGAAAGGGGCCCAGTACCAAGACACTGATTTGGCCCAGCCCAGCCATACCCCCACACCTCTCCCTGACCCACAGGGTCTGCCATTTTGGAGGTCACAGGCCTCACTGAGGCTCACTCACTGTGGCCCGTTTTCTCTGAGGGTTTGTATCTATTCTGTAGCTATTACAGTGAAATTTCTATTTTAGTATCATTTTTATATATTTTTAGGTCCTGCTCTATTTTCAGGGCAGGTCTGCATTCCTTCTGCTAATGATAGCTTTCTTTTGGTGAACTCACCCCGCCCTGTTCCTTGAGAGGCAGGCAGAATTAGTGGACAATCTGATGTCCCTCCCTCCCCATCGCCCCCTCACCTCACCTACCAATGTGGTAGGATTGTGGGTTTCAGATCAGCTGAAAGGGAGGTGGAAGAAGCCTCTATATGGTTTATCAACTGAGAGCAGGGGTAGCCACCCTCCTGAATGGATACTTCCCGCCTCCCAATCATCTGGGTGACTTTTGGCTTTCATCTCTCCCTCAGAAAAAGAGGAGCTGGAGGCAAGATGTTTGCTTGGGGACTGGAGAGAGCTTGAGGTGGGGGGCTGCCTCCCATATGCAGACCAGGGTTCGTTTCTCCCTCTCTTCTCTCATTGGCCATAGGAACTGTGGCATAGGAAGCCAGACGGAAACAGCCCTCAAGCGACAGGCAAAGATGAGCAGGGGCTTTTCGACCCAGGAATCAGCTGGGCTCTCAGGCTGAAGGTTGAAATGCGGGGGGCCTGCCCCAGGCAAGCAGCTCTGAAACCCCCCTCCTTAAGGAGGCCTTGGAGAAGAGGGAAGCAGTGTGGGGCAGAACTGTTACCTTGTGTGTGTGTGTGTGTATATGTATATTGACTGTTTGGGGGCTCATCCCAGGAAAACCTCACCATGTCTAAAGTAAGAGACCAGGTGAGTCCCCAAGATCGGACCTTTGCCTTCAGCATACCATACCTCTGAAGGCCTGGGGAGCAATGGGGAACTTTTGGGAAGGGATTTAAACCAAGCAAAGGAGGCCAAGGAAATCGGCTGGGACACAGAGGGACATGGAGACTGTCGTGGGCAGATGCAGGGTGGACTGTTGCCTCGGGTGCTGGAACAGGTGGCCAAGGCAGGTTACTGGACTCTTCATTCATTGGGGGCCCTACAAAATGGGATGGCTTGTAATGGATCTTCCCAAGAGTCATTGGAGTCCCTTCCTGACCAAGGGGCTTCTGATCATTTGCCTCCAAGGAATCCGTCGGTAGTTTCTACCCAAGCAGTCTGGGAGGGACAGATCTAGGGAGCGGTGCCTTTTAGCTCCCCCTGGCTCAGATTTCCACAACCCCCAGCCCTAGCTCTGTTCCATGTCAGAAGTTTCCCCTCCCCCCAGCATTTGCAGCCCTGGAAGAGGAGACAAAAAAAATACAGGTGCTTTTTTTTCTTCTTCTTCTTCTTCTTTTTTTTTTTGTCACCCGGCTTGCAGTTTGCCCATCCAAGTGCCTTGTGGTCTGGGAAATAGGGGTTTTTCTCTCTCTGATTCCCCTACCACTTGCAAAGACTTCTCCAAGGAGAGTGCTTGGGGAAGGGAGGGTGCCATAGGAGTGGATTTCAGCTGTGTGCATTTGGCCAAGAAAGGTAGGTACCCTTCTGCCTCTGCTGGTTTCCTTGTTGCTTTAACATTCCAGATGTTACCTCCCTCTCCTTAGGAGTGGGGGACAGCTCTCTCCAGGTGTGCGTTTAAGAAACTTAGGGGAAGGGAGAGGGACTTGTATTTCTCTACCTATCTGGAGACCTTCAGAACCAGGGCTTCGGGGATGCAGAGAGCACCTGTTCGTTGGGCTGTTCTTTGATTTCGGAAAGGTTGGAATGGTGAGAACAGTACCTGTAGTCTGCTTTCTTCAGTTCTACAAACTCAGGGGTGAGCTTCTATGTGTGATCAATCTGTCTAGCTGGCTAGGTGGGCTCTCTAGCAAAGAAACAGCAGGAGGGACCCAGGATGGACAACAGGAACATTGCTGGACCCTGGAATAATGTCTGAGGGAAGATATGGAATCCTCCTACTCCAGAGACCTTTAGGAAAGAAGATGCTAATATGGTCAAGCCCTGCTTGGGAGCTGGCAATGTCGTCCTCTCAATGTCTCCTTCAGATTGAGGATCCAGTGATTCCCACAGCCAGACCCCCTGGTTTGACACTGAGCTTGAGCAGGCTAAGGCAGGCTTTTGATTCCTGTCATCTCTTCCCCAGCTACGAGGACTCTCCCCACCTCCCACCTCCTACTCTCCCCATTGTTTCTTTTTTTTTCATTACTTTCCCTCCCTCCCTCTTCTTTGCCTTCTCCTTCTTCCTCTTCCCACCTGTCATTTCTCTTTCCCTCCTTTTCACCATCTCCCCATTCCCTCTCCTTCCTCTTTCTACGTCATTTACCCTTCTCTCTTTCCACCAATCTCCCAATCCCTCCTCCCCATTTCCACCCTCTCTTCCCCCTCCTTGGTGTTCTCTGCCCTCCTTCCCCCCACACACATACTTTGCTTCTCAGGCCCAGGATATCCAAAGCTGTTCATCATCTGGCAACATCACTTCACAGTGGTGTTAACATTCTCTAACCTGGGCCAGATCCCGCCTCATAAGACAACCTTTCCCTGATCATGGAGGAGGTTCTTTGTTGAGAGTTCCATTCCCTAAAGGAACACAGGTACTGCAATGATGCATCAGATCTATGTGTGCATTTAACCCATTATTTTGTTAGTAACAGAGGCCCCCGAGGGAGAACAGGGTTGTCTTCCCTGCCTTAAAAGGGAGGGCAACCCAAAAGAGCTCACATCTCCTCACTTTGGAAATAGGGTATCTACTAGCTGGGAGGGAGTCTCAAGCACTTGTACATACGGCATTATTGGAAAGAGAAGAGGGCTGTGTGTTATGTCCTTCCCTCTCGGGGCTGGACATACACCTTTCTGTTTCAGGGCTGTCTGGAAAGAGCCAGGGAGGAAATGAATAGGTCTAAGAATCTTTTACTGAGTCCTAGACAGCCTGAGGGGGAAATGAGGCATTCAGAGCCCAAGTCTGGGTGGCTCTGGGTCTCAGCCCCCAAGTTACCTGTACTCCTTACCTGGACAGAGCCCACTTTCCAGCAGGGAATACCCTATATAGAGCTCTCTGCAGGACAGGGGCAGTGACTTCTTCTGGTCTATTTAATTGTATGGTATTTTTCTGTTTAAGTGGGGGCCCCTCCCACTGCACCACTGTGTGTCTCTCCTATTGACTGTAATGAAAGTTATTTATTGATTCTGTTAGCAGACAGTTCTTAAAATAAAGATCGATCCTCAACCTGTTTGGCAGCTACTAGCTACCACTGTGAGTGCTTTTTTGTCTTTGCCTGTGGATGTAGCTGAAGCATCAATAGTGCCCCAATGAGGCCTCTGCGATGCCAACTTTACTGTTGGAGTTGCATGCGGGAGAACTGGGTTCAGACCCCAGTGCCAACACTTCATGTGTGACCTTGGGCAGCCAGATGGCAAAGTGGATAGAGTGCCAGACTTGAAATAAGAAAGACCTGGGTTCAGATGCTGCCTCAGACACTACACTAGCTGTATCACCCTGGGTGAGTCACTTAACCTCTTTCAGGCTCAGTTTTCCTATCTGTAAAATGTGGATAAATAATGGCACCAACCTCCTAGGATTATTGGAAGGATTGAATCTCAAATCCCAAATAAATGCTAGGTATCTATTATTATTATTGTTATCATCATCATCATCACAACCTCTCAGAAGCTCGATTTACTTACTTAAAATGGGAAATGTTATACTTAGGTATCTCCCAAAGCTTTTGTAAGGCAACCATTATTTTAAGTGTTATATCTGATACCTCCACACTCCCACCCCCTTGAAGTCTAGTCCTGAGGTCCCTACACTGGGCTTTGTCTCATTCAGGGCACTGCTTCTCTGTCATAGGAGGAAACTTACCCCAAGGGGTTTGGAGAGGGGCAACTAGGAGACATGAATCTGCTAGTTACTTCTGGTTCTCTGCAACTAGAAGCCAATGAAAGATTTAGCCTGGCAAAAGTCTGTATTTTTCCAGCTATTACATAAAGGCCCAATTCTTACGCAGGTCTGTGAGTGGCTAATGTTTTCAGTTCAGAGCCAAGCAGTCTCCCTAACTGGAAAAAAAAAAAAGACAGTGCCTTGGGGGCTGAGGAGAAGGGAGAAACCAATGTCAGAATTCTTGGGGAGTAGAAGGGACTCTTAACCCTGCTGCTCGAGCTATTTCAGTGCCTTCCTCAATTTTCTTCACCTCCATCTCCTGAAGCCTGGGGCCCTGCTTAGCTTCACAAAATTGGGCCAGTGGTAGGGAACCCACTTCAGGGTCTAAGCCTTCATCTCCTCTCTTTTGCATCAAAGCCAGGGGAACCAGGACAGACTGTCTTCTCCATCAACACTCCAGAGGCAGATTAAGTGTGTGTGTTCAGAGGTGGAATTAGATGTTGATTACAGATCAGGGCTTTTTTTTTTTTTACCTCTTGCCTACTCTGTCATTGACTTGAACATTTATTAGTAATAAATTGCTATATTATGTTAAATATTAAATAAATTATTATATTACTAAATTTAAAATTAGTAACAAATAAATAGACAAATAAATTATTGGTAATAAATAGCTAGTTGTCATAGTGGACAGAGCTCTGGCCCTAGCCTCAGACTCTTACTAGCTGCTTGACCCTGGGCAAGTCATTTAATCTCCACCTGCCTCAACTTCCTCATCAGCAAAATAGGGATAATAATAATACCTAACTCTCAGGGTTGTTGTAAAGATCAAATGAAATGCAAACTTTGAAGTACTGCATGAATTCTAGCCATTATTATTACATAGCAACTCAAGTTTCACAAAGTGCTTTACATGTATTTTTTCATTGATCCTCACAATAGCCCTGTAAGTTAAGTGTTGTTCTTATTATCTCCATTTGACGGTTAGGGAAACTGAATGTGAGAGCAGTTATGCCAAGGGTCACACAGTAAGTGTTTTAGGATTTGAATTCAGGTCTTCCTGACTACAAGTCCCATGTTCTATCTATTAGGTAACCTAGCTGCCTCAAATTAAATCACTTAACCTCTCCACTGGTTTAATGGAAAGAAAATCCCTGTTCCCCTTTCTTCTTCCCCACCCTTTTCCTTTTCAGAGGCTGATTGAGGATGTTGAAAATGTCAAAGACTCACAGAGTTAGTACAATACTTTTTTTTTTAACAGATGCTATAACTGAGACATGGAGAAGAAACTTTGCTGACCATTATCACATGCCAAGCCTTGTGCTATATTCTGGGAGGGTATAATATATAAAGATATAATATATACATATATATATATATATAAAATACATATATAATATATAAAGATGTAATATATATTATACATATATTATATATAAAGATATAATATAGATATAATAATGTCTTTATTAAAGATAAAGATGCAACAGTCCCTGCTCACATAAAGCTTAGATTCCATCAAGAGAGCAACATATACATATATAGGCATAAAAGAAGTATGAGCTAATTTTTTTTAGGGTGATGGCATTCACAGCATGGGGAGGAGTCAGGAAAGTCCTCACTTAGAAGATGGAATTTCAGCTGAGACAAGAGATTCTAAGAGGTTGAGGTGAGGCAAGTATCCCAAAGGCTTTGTGCAAAGGAACCAGGATAGATGATGGAGTGTGTTGCATGAGACACAGCAAGAAAGCCGATTAGAGGGATAAAGATGAAGGGGAAGTAATATAGAATAAAGTCTGAAAGGACAGAGCCAGGTGGCAAGAGGCTTTAAGTGCCTATGTAACCCTGGACAAGTCACTTAACTTCTCAGCCTCAGCTTCTGCATCTGTAAAATTAGGGGCTTGTCTTGATAGCCTCTAAAGTCCCTTCCAGTTCTAAATCTGTGACCCCACGTAAAAGGTGGTGGTGCCCTAGAACAGAAATAGGGACGTTCTGAAGAGGAATATCCATGGGGAAAGAGGGATTCTTTTTTTGGACGTGTTGAGCTGGAGATGCCTACAGGCCATCCATTCTGAAAGATTTGTGATGTGGTATTGGAGCTCAGGAATGAGATGATGATTGGAAAAGATGGAAAGAGAGAGAGAGAGAGAGAGAGAGAGAGAGAGAGAGAGAGAGAGAGAGAGAGAGAGAGAGAGATAAATGATAGGCAGATAAATAGATAATAGATAATGATAGGCATATACATATAGAGATGATAGATGGACAGACAGATAATGATAGGCATATGTATACATATAGAGATAACAGGCTGACAGATAGATGATAGATAGATGAATGATGATAATTAGGCATATACATACATATAGAGATGATAGAGACAGATAGATAATCTGGAAGTCATCTTCATGGAGAATATTAAATCCTTGGGAGCTGATGAGGTCACTGAGAGTGTTAAAGGAAGAGCACCCAGAGCAGAGTCTTGGGGTGCACCCACAGGGCATGCGATATGGATGATGAGCCTGCAAAGGAAACTAAGAAATGGCCAGATGGGGAAGAGAACCAAGAGAGAGCAGTGCTATAACCTAGACAAAGAGCAACCAGGAGGAAAAGGCAGTCGACAGCGTCAAAGAGGGCAGAGAGATCAATCAATCAATCAATCAATATTTATTAATCATTACTGTGTATCAGGCACTGTGCTGAATGCTGGAGATAAAGAAAAGTGAAAGATAGCCCCACCTTTCAAAGAGCCCACAGCCTAATGGTATAGCTAATGGATTAGGCAGGGTCTAATGACCGAAACAACATGTTAACATTTATATACAAATAAGCTATATCTGGGATAAGAGGGGAATCAACCGAAGGAAGGAGCTAGAATTAAGGTGATTGGGAACAGTTTCCTATAGAAGGTGGGGTTTTAGCTGGAACTTGAAGGAAGCCAGGAGACAAGGAGGGAAAGCCTTCCAGGCATGGTGGACACCCGTGAAAATGTCTGGAGTCAGGAGATGTAGCCTCTTTTTTTATGAAGGATAGCAAGAAAGCCAGTTTTGCTAGATAGCAGAGTTTGTGGGTGGGTGTAAGATGTCATTTATTGTTGTCCTTTGTACTCAAAGAAGACCAAAATGACATCATGATGCCAGGGTCAATGTACAGTGTGTCCAGCTGTATGTGGCTGCTCAGACTAAGATGAGGCTCTGTAAGAAGATTAGAAAAGTAGGAAGGAGAGGCAGCTAGGTGGCACAGTGAATAGAGCTCTGGCCTTAGAGTCAGGAGGACCTGAGTTCAAATGTGATCTTAGATACATAACACTTACTAGCTGTGTGACCCTGAGCAAGTCACTTAACCTCAATTACCAAAGCAAAAAGAAAAAAAAAAGAAAAGTAGGAAGGTCCAGATTATGAAGGGCTTTGAGTGCTAGAGTGTTTTATGTTTGATCCTAGAGGTGATAGGGAGCCAATGAAGTTCATTGAGTAGGAGGGTGACACGGATCAGGCCTGCACTTTAGAAAGATCACTTTGCTGAATGGAGGATGGCCTGGAGTGAGGAGAGGCTTGTGGCAGGCATACCAACCAGAAGGCTATTGCAACAGTCCAGGCATGAGGTGATAAGGGCCTGTGCCGGGCCAGTGGAAGTGCCAAAGGAGAGAAGGAGGTGTGTTCAAGAGATGTTACACATGTAAAATCCACAGGCCTTGGCAACAGATTGGGAAGGGTTGAGAGTGGAGTGAGCCTGGGTGACTGTAATAGGGAAGCTATGGAGAAGACAGGATTGGGGGGAAAGTGATGAATTCAGTTTTGGATACGATGAGTCTAAGATGTCTACGGAATGTCCAGCGCCAGATGTCCAGCTGGAGATTGGCAGGGAGATTAGGGCTGGATAACTAAACTTGAGAATCATCGGCACAGAGATGACAATCGCATCCATGGAAGCCAAGATCACTGAGTGAAAAACAGCACAGGCTGAGGAGGATAAGGTCATTATAAGTGGTAGAACAGGGACTAGAACTCAGTTCTCCTACCTCCTGACCCCGGGCACCAGGCCACTTTTCCCTTAGAATTCAAGAATACTTGGAACTCTTGAGAAGCTACAAGTCAGGCCCTCCAGCCCTTTCCTTGAAATGTAATAAGGGGCTGTCACTTTCTCATTCATTAGATTTTCCTAGACTGAACTACTATAATTTGATATTAAGCTCATCCTTCCTGAGGCAGGTGGAGATGGTGGGTCGGTAGGTTGGATAATAATGGAGGTTTAAAGTTTATCTTTCATCAAGGACGTTACCATATTTCTGACCTTCAGGCCAGGGCTCATTCTTCTCTAGGCTTGGAATGAGATCATAAGACTGCCTCTTCCTCCAAGATTAGCAAGAGAAATCTGTGTGGGAGAAATATAATTCACTTATTAGAATTAGCCCAGCCTCTGGCCATCCAGAGGCCTGCCTCCTCTCCCCTCATGGCTCTACAATCCAATTACCTTCGGGAGAGACATTGGATTTTTGAGTGCCTTGTTAACAATGGATTCCAAATGGATTGAGATGGGTACTGCACTACCCTCAAGGGCTATGCCTGCTTAAAAAAAAAAAAGTCAATATATTTGTTCTCTTATAGCAGCACAAGACTTTTTCTGGCTAAAAAAAGTTAGAGCTACAGGGATTAAGTAGTTGGGGAATGCAAACCAAGGAAATTTGAATGGCCAGAGGAAGTGTTTGCCCTTGGGCGAAAATTCATCTTAACACCAAGCAGGTGAGGTCCTGGGGGTTGGGGCTTTACCTCTGAGTCAGCCTTTCCTCGGTTCAATGTGGCCAAATAACTTCTCGTAGATATCTCAAACTCAACATGCCACAACAGAACTCATCATCTTTCCCTCCAAACCAACCTCTCTTTCTTATTATCATTGTCCAGGGCACCACTAAGTGTACAGTCGTTTAGGTTGACAAGCTCAGTCAACTCCTTAACTCCTCCCTCCCTCTCACTCACTCCTCATATTCCAATCAGTTGTCCTGTCTTGTACTTCCCTTCTCTACGTTCCCTTGTCTTCACTCACAGAGCCACCATCCTAATTCAGGCCCTCATCACCTCTAGCTGGACTATTGTAGTAGGCCTTCTAAATGGTCTCCTGACACTCTCGCTGTCTCTCTTCTCTCTCTCTCTCTCTCTCTCTCTCTCTCTCTCTCTCTCTCTCTCTCTCTCTCTCTCTCTCTCTCTCTTTCTTTCTCCCTTTCTCTCTCCTCTGTTTCTGTCCCTTTGTCTGTGTCTATCTCTGTCTCTCTCCCTCCCTCCATTTCTCTGTCTCTGTTCCTCCCTCCCTCTCTCTCTCACTCTTTTCTCTCTCTTCTCTGTCTTTGTCCCTATCTGTCTGTCTGTCTGTCTCTCCCTCCCTCCCTTTTTCTCTCTCCCTCCCTCTCTCTCCTCTATTTTCTCTCTCTTCTTTCTGTCTCTGTCTCTCTGTGTCTGTCTCTGTCTCTGTCTGTCTCCCTCCCTCCATTTGTCTCTGTTCCTCCCTCCCTCTCTCTCTCACTCTTTTCTCTCTCTTCTCTGTCTTTGTCCCTATCTGTCTGTCTGTCTCTACCTCCCTCCCTTTTTCTCTCTCTTCTCTTTTCTCTCTCTTCTTTCTCTCTGTCTCTGTCTCTCTGTGTCTCTGTCTCTCTGTCTGTCTCCCTCCCTCCATTTGTCTCTGTTCCTCCCTCCCTCCCTCTCTCTCTCTCTCTCCCTCCCTCTCTCTCTCTTCTCTTTCTTCTCTCTTTCTCTCTCTTCTGTCTCTGTCTCTGTCTCCCTCCCTCCCTCCATTTCTCTGTCTCTCTCTCTCTCCCTCTCTCCCTCCAAACTCATTTTTCTTAAATTCAGGTTTGCTCCTTCTCTCCCCCAATAAACTCTAATGGCTCACTATTACCTCTAACCTCAAATATAAACTTAAAGGCCTTCACAGCTTGCTCCCTTATCTTAAGTCTTCTTCCACATTACTCCCCTCCCAGCACTCTACAATCCAGGCTGTTGCATGTCTTCTGTGCTTTTGAAGCGGCTGACCCCACCATGCTTGGAATGCTCTCTCTCTCTCCTCTCCTCTGCCCCTTAGGGGCAGGTTAAGTGGTTTTAGTGAATAGAGTGCTAGGCCCAAGAGTTGGAAAGATCCTAGTTCAAATCAGACCTTAGATACAAACTGTGTGGCCCCGGGCAAGTTTACTCTGCCCCAGCTGTAAAATGAGGATAACAATAGCACCTACCTCCCAGAGGATTAAATGATATATATGTAAGGAAGATGCTTAGCATAGTACCTGGCATGTAATATATTTTTCAGTAGTTTTTCAGTCATGTCCAACTCTTCATGACGCTATTTGGGGTTTTCTCGGCAAAGATACTGGAGTGGTTTGCCATTTCTTTCTCCAGCTCATTTTACAGATGAGGAAACTGAGGCAAACAAGGTGAAGTAATTTGCCTAGGGTCACACAGGTGAATCTGAACTTAGGTCTTCCTGACTCCAGGCCCAGGGCTCTATCCACTGTGCCACCTTGCTGTCCCTGCAAATAGTATAGTCACTTAATCAATGTTTGTTTCCTTCCTTCGAATGCCTTGAAGATTCAGCTCAAATGTTTTCTGCCTGAAGGCTTTTCCTGGTTTCCCAGTTGCTAGGGCCTTCTACTTTGTATCCACCCTATATGGCTTGTTTATTCCTATTTCTGTACAGTTGTCTCTCTCTCCCCTCTACCCCCAGAATGTGATATCCTTGAGGGCTAGGGCTGTTGTATTTTTCTCTTCGAATCTCCAGTGCCTTGCATGAGATAAGTACTTAATAAATGCTTGTAGACTAATCTAAGTGACCAGGGACGCCACCTCCAGACTGTGAAGTAGGAAAGAAGAATTCAAACCCACAGTATAGATGCATACAAGGCAGAAACTTTTTATTAAAGTGGAGACAGAATTTCTAAGTAAAAAAAAAAATCAATGACTAGACATTCTGTTCAAAAATCTAACAACAGGAAGAAGCATTAACACTGGAAATAATTACAGCAAATTTTAACAGGTGCAAAACCAAAGCAACTTTGGTGATGAGCTGGGCTTTCCCCTGGAGCACAGGCACTCATGTGATACTGGGAAAGGCACTTATATGATACTGGGAAAGATGGATAAGGCAGGACAAGTTTGGCAGGAGACAAAGCATATCAGAGATTTCATTTTCCCATAGATCCTATGGGGATTCCACGGGTGGAAACAAGAATCTCTCCAAAAACGGTTAGCACCACTATCAGGTTTGCAAACTTCAAGGAATGGTGGCCAGACTATTACATCTCTGTCTTGACCTCTCTTTTGGAAGTTTTCGGCAAAGAGTGAACAGCTATACTTACCAGCACACCTACAATAACTCCCCCTGTAATTCCTATCCCCAGTGCTAACAAGACCTTTTTATTCCATAATGAGCGTTGAAGACGGATAGGTATATCTAGATCCAGGTCCATCCCCTCATCTATTAATTTCTGCACCTCAGTCAGGGACTCATCAAAGTTGAGGTTCACTAAGTTAGCAGGAATGACCCTCAGTGCAAAGTAGACTCTCTTGACAAACCTCAAATTCTTCAGCAACTGGACATCACACCTGTAGGTGCCTGAATCAACCTCTCGGGCAGGATCCAGCATCACAGAATGGATAGAGCGCCGAAAAGGTTTAAACAACTCATCATCAGTGGAGACGATGCCACGGGCAAACATCCAGGTGAAGCGGAAAGCTTCATGCCCGTAAAGGATGATGTCTGGACTCAGACAGGTCAGATCAAATGTCTTCCCAATGGGAACAGTAAAGTGGACCATCCCACAAATCCAATTGGTCAAGCACTCAGTTTGGTGAGTCTCACATTTCCTTCTAACCCCATCAGGGCCCACCTCACAGGTGCTCTCCTCCTTATAGCCCAGGCCACAGGTGACTGTGCAGGGGGTAGCATTGACAATCACTCTCCCATGAGCCTGCTTCAACTTTGCAGGAATTGTGAGTGCTTGATGGGATGTCACTATTATAGGCAAGTAGAAAGCAAATGCCAGTGTTCCAAGGATAAAGCCAGTGTCCAGTGTCTTCATGCTTAGTTAGATCTTTAGTTGACAGTCCATGAGGCCATTTGGAGTAAACATTAAAAACATTTCTGAAATTCCTGCTAAATTCTCTTCATTTTCACATTCTAAATTTCGATGACATGAGGTATCTTCCAAAGTCAAAAGGTGTGGGTTTTTTCAAAAGTATGTGACCTAATAAACAAAATTCCAAACTTTAACAACAGGAGAGCATGCTAGGCAAAAGAAACCACACGCAATATTGGTACTTATTATCATTGACCACATTGCCATGCTTCAGATATCCCTTTCCTATCCTTGCAACTAAATGGGGTTTCTTTGGGAGAAAAGCAACAAAAGGCTTCATAATTTGAAGTGAATTTTGAAATCACTATGACTGTGCAATAGAAAGCAGTGTACTTTCCCCCAGTGCCCCTGTAACTCTCAACAGGATCTATAAATAAGTTTCTAGGTACCCAATTAGCTCCAGCCAAGCAATTCTTACTCATCAAATTTGCAAGAAGCACTAAATACAAGAGAATGAAATTCTCTTGTATTGAATACTGGAACAATCAGAATACCTAAGTTCTCCATGAGGCTCCACCACTAACAAGCTGTGAAACCTTAGGCAAGTCACTTAAATCCATCAATCTGTTTTCTCATGCACAAAGTGGGGAAAAAAATACTGTTTGCTGCCTAACTGGGCTACTGAGGACCAAATTCCAAGTGTGAAAGGATTCTATAAATATGTTATTAGGAATACAAGGCTGAAGTAGAGACAATCGAGATCATATAAGCCCAACCCCTTCATTTTGCAGAGGCCCAGAGAAACAAAGCAATTTACTCAAGGTCACACAGTAAAGCTACTAGAAAGAAAACTAAAAACTGGTGGAGACAGAGGCTGAAATACCATTTAGGAATCAAAATGTTTACCAGCAAGGCAGAGATATTTAACATAGCTACCATTTTCCTTACTCTGCACTGCTCTATTCCAAGAGTAATGAAATTATTTTCCATTTGAAAGGCAACTTAATTCGCCCAGGCTTCCTGCTGATGCTCCTTATTCCGTATACTCTATGAACAGCAGCTGATGGGCTATGCTTATGACATGGTTGCTATGAAACAGTTGGGATGTCACAGAAGGGTTCTTAGCGTCACAGTAATGGGAAAGGTTAAACAGGAACATTTCAAAGTGAACATTCAGTTTGGAGAAGAAATCTTGAGGAATTTGAATAACTTAGGTTTTTTTCTTTTGTTTTGTTTGAAAGAAGGCATCCTGTGCCGCAGGATTGAAGAGTATTCATATAGTTTATTTAATTGACAGAAAAGTGATAGTAGTGGTAGGAGGAGACCCAAGTTTATCCCCAAATGGATACTTTGTTTAGATAATGATAAGATGTCCATACAAGGAGATCTTTAGGACTGAAACAGATGATTTGTTTTAGAAATATGAAGTATAACCTTGTTCAGAGGCAGTAGGGTGAACTATGTTACCTTCCAGACCTACAACTTTAACATCCCTTCATAAGCTGAGACCCATGTCTTCTGTGCAGTTAAACAAAATGACAGACACACTGAAGAGCAAGTGTTCTTTGTAAACAACTACAAACAACTGTTCTTTAAGTAAAACGATCATCTTTATTTACAAAGCATCATCACTTTAGCAAGAACTATTCAAGTGACCAATTTTCATCTTTTACAAAACTACAGAGCATTTAAAACTTTAAAAAAAAAGTGACGAGAGAGAAAACACACATACACACGTAGGGAGATGAAAGGAGGAAAAAAATATACATATATTGTACAAACAGTGAAGCAGTCAAATGAAATGGACAGCGAGTTTGAAGAACGGAAGAAAATCTTTGAATCACAAAAACGAATCCTGAAGATGTTGTCAAGAGCCAACTTGAAGGAGCTTAGATTGGCACTCTCACACTTGGGAGGGGAAATAGCTCAATACCCAAGTACCCAGGCAAGAAAATTCAAATTACATGGTAAATGGTGACAGGGTAGAAAAGCATTTATGTGAACTGGCAGACTAATACAGAATACAATCTAAAGTAATGACAGTGTTCCTTATGATGTAAAACAGAAACATGTCCAGTAGTCCACACAATTACTCTACTACTGAGTAACTTGTTTTAAGAGTCTAGGTAACAAGGGTTTTGTAGAGAATAAGTTATATCAAAGAACACGGACTTTTTGTCACATATCTTGGGAAATGGACCTTTCACTTACACGAACAAGTGAAACGGGAGGAAAGGCTGTTTCAGACATTTTTTGTTTCTCCTTCTATCCCTCCAACATCCTTTCAAATAACCAGGTTCATCTCTTTCTTGGATCATCTATGGGCTCAAGTGGGTTCCTCCTCATGCTATAGTGTAAACTGTTCTAAAGCTTTCCTCAAGAAGTTAAGAAAAAATACTACCTTCACATTAAAACAGACATAGCTAGATGAATACTGCACCCAGGGCTGTGGATCCTCATTTCACATGTTGGTTCCCTAAAATGAACTTTTGAGACAATAAGCGACAAGACATAAGCAGAACAGGCCAGACGATGAGCTCCGTGAGTTCACAAAGGACCAGCAATGGAAGTGGAAAGAATTCTGGGCAACTTTTAAAAATCCAAAGGTTTCTCATGTGTGCACACATTCGAGCTGCCACTCTTGTTTCCTAAGTGGTGGTGAAGAAGCTGAGACAACTGAGAAGCCTTTCACAGAAAGGAAGTGACCAAAAAAAAAAAATACTAATAGAGGAATTGTAAGGAGGAAACTGAAACTGCTCACAACACAGACACAGGTGGGGACAACACTGATGTTTTGAGGGAAGGGCAAATCCATGGACACTGATGAAAAAAATTCACTTTGAACTTTGATTTGAACTATGTTGCTGCATCTGATTTTGGACAGCTCCATTTTAGACCTTGCATAGATACTTCTTCATAAAAGAAGGCTCAGAGATACCTTTGTTTGGTTTCTTCTCTAGTAGTTTGCACATGACAGCCAAAAAACAAAAGCCCTCATGTGCTACTTTGCCTGAACAGGTGAAACTACCTGTCTTTAGAAACATGATTTAGAGAGACTAAATTGATGCTGAAGGCTAAAACGGAAAAAAAGAAATAGAACATTTTACATCCCAACCTCCTGGGGAAAAGGTTATATGATAGTCAAAACGGGTTTCTTATCTATGTCTTCCCTTTCTGATGGCTCTACGTTTTCCTGAGCTTTTCAGATTATAAGCACTTTGTTTTCTTGCCTGTTCTTAAAAAAAGAATAATGTAACACGGAATACAGGCCTTTATATGTTGACTGGATCAGGGAAGAAAGGAGAGAGAAAAGAGAGAGTATGCAACAGATCCTTTTCTATGAGACAATAGCAGGGAGAGGAAAAGTTACACAGAAGAATGATTCACTTGAGGACATGCGCTAAGGGATGAGAGGGAGCAGGGGATGGGAAAGGGCAGATCAAAGTGATGTTTAGTTAAGAAAGGTCATACAAAGAAAACATAGGCGTTGTTTCAGCAGCATAACTAAGCAGAGAAGCATTCCCCTAAATGAGCCAGGAGTCCCGTTAAGTCTTTGCAAATCCTCTTTTCCTGAGTCTATTCGGAATTCTGCTTTGAGAGGGAGGGCTGGGGAGGGTCACCCTTCTTTCATAATTCACTTCATTCAAAAATAAACATCACTCCTCCTTCCACCTGCTGAGAGAGGCGGAGGCCTTGGTTTTAAATGAAAGTCAGTCTCATTTGTCCGAGCACAATGTCCGAGGCTGCATGACTGCAGAGTGGGAAAAGAATGGAGAACTCCCAAGGTCGTCTTCATAATAGTTCTGAGATTGCTCCCCCTGCTGGAGAGATTAAGAAGGGAAAGGTTCCATTAGCATCAATTCATCCTAGTTACTGGTTAGAATGGAGATCTTGACAGATAAGATGTGCTACAAGCATAAGCATAAGCGGGCAAAATACTATTTTCCCGATCTAGAAAAAGAGATAGAGGTAACTCTTGGCTACCCTTCGTTGAGACCCACCAATAGCCAGAAAACCATTTTAGAAGACAGTAGAAAGAGCATCGCTGGCTCTGGAGTCAGAACCTGGGTCTATATCCCATCACTTAAGTACACTGGACTGTGTGACCCTGGGCAAGTCACTCCCCCTTCATCACCTATAAAAGGAGGAGGTCAGACTAAATGGCCTCTGGGATCCCTTCTACATCTACAGCTATGATCTGTGACCTTTCCACAGCTTTTTTCACCAAGGGAGCAAAGGTGTATCCCCTGAATTTTTAACCTTTTCTTCCAAGCTCCCAAGAACATTTACAAAGGTGTAAACAGATGGTACGTGGTTCAAGGCAAGCAGTGAGAAAGGAAAGGGGAAGCTGGGGAGCTTCACAATTAGCATCTAACAGTCACTCCCTAAATAACCAACCAAGAGCTGGCTACAAACCCTTTCCAAAGGCCTCAGGACACCCTGCTCATGTAGCGTCCTCTAACCACAAAGGAAAGTCCTAAAGAGTTATACTCAAGTTCACTAATAACTGAGCAAACAGAATCCTAACTTTGCAAACGAAATGAGCGTCTCCCTGTTTGACAGGCCCTATTTAGTCTCTGGGGACACGGGCAGCTAAGGGTTAGCTAAGAATGTTGGCAAAGAAGTTCAGAAAAAGAACGAAGTCAATTTGTCCCTGTTCCACACCACAGTGGAGAGATGGGAAAATGGGCACTGATGTCACCTGAAGAAAAAGTCACTTCAAAAAGATTTGTGCTAGGATGTAAGGGAACCCATTTGCAAAACTGACTCGGGAGGTTAAAAGAAAAGTTTCAATCACAGAACGACACAGCTGGACATGGGATACAACATTGGCAACCAAGACTATATTGACATTTACTGAAGAACAGACTGATATTAAAACGAAATTCAAACTCAATCATCTAAGCTGAATATCACATTATTAGAAATTCAGTTTCTACTGTTTACAGTTCAGCAGGAACAGGGTTTTGATGCCATCTTCCCTTATATATCACAACATGAAGAAAATAGTCATGTACCTCTTAAGGCAAGAATAAAAAACTCTGAGATGAACAAAGCTGACTCCACAAGCCTCTACATTATCATTGTGAAAATGGTTTTGCTCATTCTCTTCTGGATCCCCTTGCTATCATTGCTCAAAACAAAACCAACCCCAAAATCCAAAAATCCAAAACCCAAACCTCAGGCCACCAAATAAACCAACAACCCTGTAGAAAATTATGGAATTTAGATATCTTCCTCCTGAATGTTCATTACCAGATCCCAGAGATTGGGTTTTCTGGATTTCGATCAGTTTTCACTGATAACACTATAGCTAACTCCTAATTAAAGAAATGACTTGATCAACAAGTCAACTACATTAAAAATAACCATTTAAATGGTCAATGTACTACCTCATGCTGAGTCTACATCTGAAGACAGTTTGAGTTTTACACCCTTATTCTCTTGAATTCACAATACAAGTCCAAGCAATAAGACATAAGCAGAGCAGACAAGATGATGAGCAACATGGGTTATAAAAGACTAGCAATAATGGAAGTGGAGAGAACTCCGGGCAATAAATAAAAAACAAACAAAACAAAACAAAAAACCAGCAGCTGCTCCCAAGGACACACAAAATTAGGTACAACACAAAGGGAGTTTACAATAAGGTAACACTTAGGCAGTGGAGCTCAGAACATGCAACTCTGGTACATGACTCCCAATGTCATTTCAAGGCTAGTATGATTTACGCCGAGCTGAAACTTTCTACTCTCTCTTCAGGCAGCCATGACAGAGGCACAAAAACTAAAAAATAACCCTTCCAACCAAACATCAGATTGCAGAAGGATGCATGCAGTAGTCTGACACTGTCCAGATGGGCAGGGCTTGTGATTTCATCTGTGCCACGAGCCCCTGGTGAGGAGCGCACCTCGACCGACACAGCCTCGTCTCAGAGAGGTGCCTGGGGCCCGCAGAGCTTCAGTGACTTGCCCAGTCACAAAGCCAGGATGGGTCAGAGGGGGACCTGAACCCACATCTTCATGACTACAAAGCAGACTCTAGATCCACTACATACTGTCTCTCTAGCCTGAATAATAATACTACTTCCTTTCTTTTCCCCTCAAATACTAAGATCAGAGGACTGTTCTCACAATAGAAACTTTGGTGTCTCTTTAATAGGCTCTCTGCACTGGAGAGGAAGAACACACCAAATTAATAGAAGCTATAGCTAGTCACCAAAACTGGAAAGTTCCCCCAAACTGTCTCAACAGGCATTTCAGACAAATGAAACTGTTCTAAATGAGGGCTTAGGGAAAGTGGCCTTGCTAATATATGGCAGGAAACTGAAACAGTCCTTTTAGTTTAGGATGAATTCATTTTCCCTACAATTTATAAGACCCAGTGTGGACCTAGAGATCCACTCCTAATAAAAAAGGGCCATCCCTCCCAAACTTCAGATACCATGAAAGTGAGATGGCCCACTGATTGAGAAAGCCAGTTTCACAAAGGCTTAGGCGTTAAGATCTTACACAGACATTGCAGCCTCTACATCCCAGTAGCTGCTTTTCTGGTCAGCTCCTCCCAGGTTTTCTCCTCCCATTTTCGGGTCCTGACATCATGATGGTATGTACCTCAAAAACTTCATCTTTCTTCCTAGCCATTCTGGAGTGTACAACCACCAACTTCATTATTGGCACTGGGCTACTAGGGGGGAAAAAACAAACAAACAATGCTGGGACTTTGGCAGAAGGTTCCGGTTGGCTCCCTATCTAAATTTTTGTTTCTTTTACTCAGTCAAAACTTGGGAGTGAACAGAGATAAGGAAAACAAACAAAATATGGTTTCTCCTGCCCTTGGCAGCAGCTTAAGCCTTTGGGAGTGAATGCCACTGGTAGGTAAGGAAGGGAGGGAGAAGTGAAGAGCTGCGGTCAGGCGTCGGGGGCTGTACAAAGCAAGGCCGCCGCGCAAGCCGGGCGCGCCCACCACGGGTCCTTACCTGTCAAGGGCTGGCTGGGCTCCGCCTGCACTCTACCCTTCGCTGCTCCTTCCAGAGGTAAACCTCTGTCCCCTTTGTAGAGTTTCGGTTTAAATGGAGAATCTTTCTCTTTACCTTTTGATCCTTTAGGCCGGCCTGCTTGCTTCTTCTTCGATTTGCCATCCCCCTTCACCCCCAGTAGCGGATGGACTTCTGCAAAGGGACAAACAGGTATGGGAAGGAGTCCACACAAACCAATCCACATCTCTAGCCCGCCACCAAAAACAGTGTATACGGTGCCACTGCCAATAAGGAACTTTGTGCCTGTGTTCAAAAGATGAGACTGAACCTGCCTGAGTTCTTACCTTTTACAGAACTATGAAAGGGGGGAGGCCAGGAGCTGAAGAGAAGCCACTCATCAAAAAAGTCAAACCCAGCCAGTTTCTCATGAAGAAGGCTGCACGGTACAGTACCCCAAATGGAGGCTAAGGTCCACATTACTATTACATTGTAGGCAAAAACAAGATGCAACCACAGGCTTGATTCTAACCACTCTGGTGGAGTAGAGGGAAGACGCAATTGGGAATTAGGAAGTCTGACCAAGCAGCTGTGTGACCGTAGGTACAGGCCTTCTCACTGAGCCACAGGAAAATGCTGGTGTTGTACCAGACAATTCATGTTCCCTACAGCTTGGCATTTTCTTGATAATATACATGTTGAGGAGAAGACAGGACATGCAGGGTTTTTGCAGGTATTTAGGGGCCAGAATGACAATAAAGGTTGCTTAGTCAAAGTACAAAAATGGATGCTAAGGGGGAAAACTTGTCCTGATATGACAGACTTATAATCAAATACTCAAAGCAAGGTATTGCCCAATTAAGAGTACATTTATAGGTGGCAGCTAGGTGGCACAGTGGATAGAGCACTGGCCCTGGATTCAGGAGGACCTGAGTTCAAATTCGGCCTCAGACACCTGACACTTGCTAGCTGTGTGACCCTGGGCACGTCACTTCACCCCATTGCCTAGCCAAAAAAAAAAAAGACTACATTTATAACTGATATCAATAACTACTCTTCCATGAGACTAACCAGAGGCCCATTTTGACCCGGAAGAGTACTAACCTGCTAGCCAACATCTGGCTCCAAATTCCTAAAAAGAAGGCAGTCGCTATTGATACTGTAGATACTTTGGTAGGGGGTAGGAGAAGAGGCAACCAAGATTGTCAGTCACGTAGGTGAGTGAACAAGCATCTCTTAGGGACCAAAAGAAACTGGTCTCACCATCATTAGGTACTCCTTGCAGCTCAATGTTGGTTGTTTTGGTTTTCTTCTTTGGTGGCTGGGGCCCATCCGCTGAGGACTGTCTCTTCTTCTCTGAACCAGCTCCCTCTTCCATCAATGAGGTTTGGACAGCATCAGGTGGGGGCCCATAAGGATTTTCCTCTGGGTCTTCTACCTCAGGGGCAATGGGTAAGTATAACAAAGCCTTTGAATCTTCCAGCTCCTCATCACTGTCAGGGAGGGAAAGGAAGAGGGGGGAAAAAACAAGGTACTTAAAAGCATGTGCAGTTTTAGCCAACAAATACTAAGTACCAACTATGAATAAGGAATATAATCAGCTCTTAAAGACATAAGGTAGTGACCCTCCCCAAGCCAGGATTAACTCTACTAGGCATGGAAATGAACAAGAAACCCAAGGTCTAAAATCTCATGGGGCATAAAGAGGAAGTGATGGCTCAGGGAAGCTCAGCAGCAGAATACTGATAATTAATTAAGAACAAAAGGTAGGAGGAGCCCAAGATGCTCTACTTTAGAAAGCAAATACACACAGCCCTTTGTGCTCACCTGCTACAAAAGGCAGCTATAGGATCTACACTAGTGACATCTACTTCTTCATCTTCTGCAGCATCAGCACCTGCAATAATACAGTTAAAAGGAGAATAAAAGTAAATGAAAAATGAGGACTCAAGTAATGCCTTTTAAGTTTTCTCATCTACAAAATGGAAATACTACAATACAATGAACTTTAGGTCTGTTGTGTGCGAAGTGTTTAGGAAACCTTCAAGTACTCCATAGACGTGAACTGTAAGTTGCTATGTGAGCATGAGCTATGATTACAAATACTGCCAGTGTAATCTAAGATTAATTTCTCACCGTGCACTGGCTCATCACTCACATAGCTTCTCTTGTAATACAAAGTAAAAGATATGGCGAATCTAAGGTGGGAGTTGAAAATGAAGCTCTGTCCTGAGGCCCAGCACCACCAGATGACCAAGTGATGATCTGCAGCACTATACATGTCACTTGACCCATTTTGTGTTCTGAGAAGAATGATTCCTATAATTCACACATCTGAATACATAAGCAGCTGCAGTGTGCGTAGTCCTGTGCTAGTTACTGATACAAAAAATAGGACAAGGTGACTGCCTTCAAGGAACTTCCTATCACATTCATGCATGTGGGATGAGATCTCACCCTTAGAAATGGGGACATACAAATCTTGTGTATGACATAGGACCTTTCAGGCACTCACCATAAAAGTGGGAAAATAAGGCATACATGCAAGGTAATCTAAGCGTACATAAAATGCCAAAGGATTGGTCAAGACGAGAAGTGCTACAGCAGATAAGTGAGGGAGGAAAAGGCTGAGTTAGCCAGTCCCAATGTGTAGAATGGAGATCCCATTGGTGCTTTGGTCATCCCACATCATCTCATCCTCATCCTCAATAGCAGCATTTATATAGTGCTTTCCATAGTGCTTGCAAAGTGTACCACATGTGTTATCTCTAGTGAACCTCACAACACTCCAGAGAGCTAAGTGCTATTATCTCCATTTTACAAATGAAAAAAAAAAAGAATTTACTTAAGTGACGGGGCTATATAGCTTTTAAGTGACTTAGGTAGCATCTAGACTCAGGTGTTCTTGACTCCCAAGTCCAGCACTCCATGTGTTGCACCACCTAACTGCCAAAATAATGTGAAAGTGGGTCATGTTTATTTTGTCTAAAAGTACTAATGGGTACATTAGTCAACACAGTCAAGGAGTAAACCATTTTGGAAAGCAATTAAGTCACATTTCCTTTGAGAAACACCTATGGTAAGATAAAAATAAAATGAGAGTAGTTGTTGGCATGTGGAAGAAAGCACACTGACTCCCATTTCCTACCTGGTCTAGTCATTCTGAAAAATAATTTTAAACTATTCTAAGAAACTAACTCAAATGCCCAGACCTTTTGATTCAAAGACTCCCACCCTCCTATGAGGTAAGAAGAAAAGCTCCATATATTCCAAAATATTTACAGCAGCAATTTTTACAGTAGATTTAAAAAAACAAACTAAAAATAAAGTAGATATCTATTGACTGGGAAATGGTTAAGTAAGTTGTAGTCCATTAATAGAATATGGTGTTCTAATAGTATACGTATGCCAACAACAATCCAAATAGAAACAAAACAAATGAAATTGAACGCTGCAGAACTGTAATGGCCATGCTTTCTCCCTTATTTGCAGAGGTGTGGGGGACCGGGGGAGTGGAACTCTGCATAGGACACCAGAGTTGGTTGGTGTGTTGGCTAATTTTGCTGAACTTTTCTCCTTTTCATTTATGGCTCTCTGGGAGGGAAAAGGGAAAGAATAGTAAAAATAGGTGATGATAATAACTTTTAAAAAAAATACTCAAAGGGCTCTGTCAGCTCATCAATTTGGGCATTCTCTCCAATGACATAGATTGCAATTCATCCAGGTAAGCTGATCCTAAATGCCTCTTGTCTGTGTTCTCCTAGCAATTTCATCCCAACACGATGAAGGCTTTTCTCAATTTTTATTGACATCCTGAAAGTACCAATGGAACACTTGAGGTCTCCACCTGTCATACTTTGCCCTTACCACATGACCAGCCCATCTTCTCTTCCTGACATGCAATTCCATGATGACATCCACTTCTGGTCTTCTTCGAAATTACTTAGTGATTAAACACTGCAGCCTGCTGAAAGTTACCATATGCCTCTCCATCATCCTCTGTATGAAACTCACCTTTGGATCTTCAGAGGCAGGACTGTTCTAAGGCTTGCTACCATACAGTGACAATGGTAAAAAATACATGTATTGAAAGGACGGGCCTTTGCTTTCATCAGAAGGTTATGATCAGTGAAAGAGCTCTGAAATTTCCCAAAAGTAATCCAGTCTGCTTTCCTTTTCCTTTTCAACTTACTATCCATCTTATGGTCTGTTCCAAAAGTACGTATAATTGGACAGGCTCTGTGGGGTGTTCACCTAAACTGATTCTGAAATATGGACAATAAAAATTCTTTATCCACTTGGCCTTTCCTGTGTGGACAAGATAAAGTGCTTTGAGTAATTACAGATCTCTTCCAAGAGGTTCAGCAATGTATCAAGGCTTGATGCAATCATCAAAATGTCATCAGAAAAGAGCATCTGGGAGTAAAAGGGATCTTTCCTCTAGCTAGACTCTCTACTGCATCTCTTCCACTATCACAGTGGTGAATAACTCATGAAGAATACACCTATATTGTGGCTCACCTAATATTTATTTTCAGAGGGTTATTGAACAGTTACTTCTGTTTTTACATCTTCCAGGAAATCCTGAATGACCATGATGGGAGACATCTATGAATAAGAGACACCCTGCTACAAGGAAATCCAGTGCAGAATGAGGAGAAGTTCTGAGTTTAAGGACAGTAGACCAGGACCAAGGAGCAGACACAGAATTGAGCAGTAGCTGTATGGCTTTGACCCCAAAGTAGAGTATTAGATTCAATCTCCGTTCTGGTCTGAGGCCTACAGCTAAGAAAACAGGGCAAAGAGCTCAAACTAGCACTAGTTCAGCTGCATGAGCTGAACCTGCCAGCTGATAAGGCCCATGCACAGAGCAGTCTACTGGAGCTCCAAGCAAGCAAGTCTAACATTGTGTCCTAGACCCAAACTGGGGTCAGAAGGTAGCAAGGCTCAGACCAAAAGGGTAGCAAATCAGACTCTGCCCTACAGCAGTCTACTTCTGGTGCTTGAAAGTCCCCAGCTTGAGCTTCCCCTCACTCAATACCCAAAGAAAAAAGCAGCAGGCCCTAAGAGAATATAAAGTAGGACCAAGTGAGGCCCAGATGCTCCCTCCAGAAGTATAAAAAGTCTTATTTTAACACAAGGTCTCCCACTGCATCTGGGACCTTCTCTAGTCATCCTGATCTATATCTGGCCACTGGACCCAGATGGCTCTGGAGGAGAAAATGAGGCTGGTGACCTTGCACAGCCCTTCCTCACTCAAATCCAAGTCAACTGCAAATCATGTCATCATTCTGATGTCATGGTCCTCTTTGAGAACGAAGGACAAACACAACAATAATCAAATTCTGGAAGTAAGGCTGGAAGAGTGAATAAATATGAATCCCACCAGAAAAAGCTTTCAAGGTGACAGGATGCCTGGGACACAAACCAAGAAGAGAATAACTCCAAAACATCCACAAGTAAAGCCTCAAATAAAAACACAGTTTTGGCACAAGTTCAAATAGAATTCTTGGGAAAATTAAAGTTTGGGGAAAAAAAGGAAATTTAAGTGATTTATAAATAAGAGCACTAGAGGAGAGATTATTGGTAAAAGAAATGAGAACTAGGGAGAAAAGACTTGGAAAGAGAATTAACAGATTAACACAAGAGGTACAAAACCTTACCCAAACAACAGACTCCTCAAAAATTAGAGTGAGTCACATGAAATTTATGACTTCATGAGACAAAAAGAAATATAAAGTCAAAAGACTGAATTTTTTTTTAAAAGAAGAAAATGTAAGGTAACTCTTAGTAAAAATAACTCACCTGGGAAAAAGATCATGGAGAAATCACTTAAGAACCAACGGATTTCCTAAAATCCACAATGAAAAAAAAGAGCCTAGACATTCTAAAGCTTCCAAGTCAAAGAAAAAATACTGCAAGCAGCCAGAAAGAAGCCACAATAAGTATCACATAAGATTTAGCAGTCATCCCTATAAGCAAGTGGAGATCTCTTAGAATATATTGCAAAAGGCAAAAGATAGAAGCTTACAAGCCAAGAATAACTTACTCAGAGTAAAACAGAGTATAATCCTATAAGGGAAAAAACTGACCTTTAATAAAATATAAGACTTCTAAGTAGTCTTGTTGAAAAGACTAGGGAAACTTTGAAATAAAAGCATATGAGTCAAAAAAATATAAAATAAAAAGGCAAATATTAAGGGCTCAATCAAGTGCAACAAGGATGAAATGTTTACATTCCAATAGGGAAAGATGATACAAGTGTCCCCCCAGAACATTAAAGTCATAAGGGTCACAGAGGGAGTTAAATAAGACAGACAACCTGGGAGGGGTTTTGTTACATTTTTGTTGACCACAAGGTCACCAAAAGAAAGAAAAAGAAAGGAAGAAAGAAAAAGGAAAAGAAAGGAAGAAGAGAATACTAGGGGGGAAATGGAGAAGGATAGAGAAAATCATCTCACATAAATGGAGTACACAAGTAGAAAACTATGAAAACAAGAAGGAAGGGGTATGGGGAGCTAGCCATTCTCAAACCTCACTTTCATCTGAACTAGTCAAGAGAAGATAAGAATAAAAAATACAAGACAGGTGCAAAAAAAAAAAGATAAAACAGGGAAACTACAATATGCTGAAAGATACCATACAGAATAACAATATTTGACAGATATGTCAACAAATAACATAGCATTTAAATACTTACAGGAAAAGTGAAAAAAGTTACAAGGAAAACCAGACAAACTATTGTAGCAGAGGATCTCAACCTCCCCCTTTCAGACCTACACAAATCTAATCAAATATACAAGACAGAATTTAAGGACCTGAATAGAACTACAGCAAAGTTAAGATGGGATAGTCTTCTGTTAATTACCGAAAGTGGAAAGAAAGAAATATACAGGGGCAGCTAGGTGGCACAGTGGATAAAGCTCTGGCCTTGGAGTCAGAAGGACCCAAGTTCAAATCCAGCCTCAAACACTTGACACTTACTAGCTGTGTGACCTTGGGCAAGTCATTTAACCCTGACTGCCTCGCCAAAAAGCAAAAAAACCCAAAAACAACAACAAAAAAACCTTGTCAGGTGTGCATGGCACCTTTACAAAAATTGAAATAAGCCCTTAGTGAAATTTGTGGCAAAAAATTTTCCCAGTTATCAATTTTCCTTCCAAATTTGGCTGCACTGGCTTTCTTGTTAAAAAAAAAAACAACTTTATAGAATCAAAATTATCCATTTTATCTTCTGTGATCCCCTTTATGCCTTGTCTGGTAGTGAACTTTTTCCCTATCCCCAGATATGAAAGGTGATCTTTTTTTTTGCTACTCTACTTTTGTTTATGAAGTCACCCTTTACGTATAAGTCATGTATCCATTTGAAGCTTATCCTGGTATTTTTGGAACTTACCTTGGTAGGTGTTAGCCTATATCTAGTTTGTCAGCTTTCTAGAGCAATTTTTCTCAAAAAGTTCTTACCCCAGTAGCTGCAGTCTTTGGGGTTATCAAACACCGGGCTGTGTTTGTTTGCCTCCTGTATATCATGTACCTAATCTGTTCTACTGATCGACCTACTTCTTAACCCATACCAAATTGTTTTGGTTTGAGGTCTGAGGTCTGGTATCCCTTTCTTCCTCCACATGAATTTCACTGGGTTTTTCTGTTTGTTTTTTCCTGGTACTATAAAGTAGTTCTCTGGTAGTTTAATTGGTATGGTGCCGAATAAGTGAATTTAATTAGGTAGTCGTGCTACGATCAAAGGAACATGTCTTCTTTGGGCCAAATCTGTTCCTTATAATTTTCAACATTCTTTTTTTTTTTTATTGTTTTGTAGTGGTTGTTCTTTTCATTTGCAATGTTATTATTTGGTATACTGTTTTCCTGGATCTTACTTTTTTTTTGTAAAAGATAAACATTAATTCATATTAGCCTTTACTGAAATGTTTTTTGCAGATCTCTTCCATTTTTCTTCTGCTTGTTGTCTTTCCCTTTTATCCTTGAATGCCCTTAATTATTATGACTTTGTTTGGTTTGCTATTTTGCACTTTCTTTAAATTGGTTTAACCAGCCATTACTTTTCTCTACTTCATGAGATGATAATGTTCTGTTTGCAAGATTTTGCAGTTGAATTTACATTCCAATCTGGTGTTGCGTCTGGTAGCCAACTCACTCTGGTAAATAAGTCTGATGTTTGCTGATTAAGTTGCTTTCTGGGTTCATTTGGTCTCTTTTCTGTGGCAATTAATTTACATTGATTAAACTTCTGGATGAAATTAGTATAGTTAAGAGTGGATGTCATTTCTGTTGTCCATTTCTGATTTTCAATAACTTGTCTAAATAATTCAAGGCTAATCTCAATAGCATGCCATATACTTTTTACTTTCACAAAGTTCTACAATGATGCCTCATCATGATAAGAGGTTCTCAAAGCGTGTGCCAAAGAAGCACAAGGTCTGGCAGATTCTACTATATTGGAAAGGCTTAAAGTATGGCCTAGTAATAAGTCAAATCTGTTTTCCAGCACCAATCTAGCTAATCTCAGAGAGCCACATCACCAACAGTTGGCCATCTTGTGCTGAAATTTGTTTTGGCCATGGCAATCCATGAAACAAAGAAAAAATTTTAAACGGCCCCGTGCCCTGTGAACATTGCTGTCCCCCCATCAATCAGTGCAGCTACAATGGCAGAAATACGGGAAAGGGAACAGAGAATCAGGGTTCCTAGATGGTCAACAAACTTCATTTGACTGTTGACGCTCTAAATGTGATATCCTTGTCCAATGACTAATAACTGAACACACTGCTGGAGGAATTGAATCATATTAATCTTGACGTAACTGGTATACACAAAACCAGAAATAAGGCAAAGCTAAATAGAAGGATGGCTCACAGGTATTCCTTGAAAAGGCAAAGGAAGGAAGTGGAAGAATGGATTTTACTGTATGCCCAAACACTACAAGAAATATGTCCTGGGACATTTTGATTATCACATATTACAATTCTAATGACAAATATCTACAAAAAGATCACTATGAAATATTATATCTATAAAAACTTTCTTCAAAAAGAGAAGGTGGCAAACACCAAATCACACCATAAAGAATGAAACTAAATATGTTTTAATTAACAGGAAAAGACCTGCTACTGATGTGCTAAGTGATCTTATCCCTGAGTCAGCTATCTGTGTGTGGTCAAACCACTGACTTCTCAGAGCTGAAACCAGAATTTAAAAAAAAAAGCATACATGTGTATGTGTGTGTGTGTGTGTGTGTGTGTGTGTGTGTGTGTATTTTTTTTTAAGCAGCATGGTGATTGAGAAACAGTACCTGTTTGTTCCGGCTCACTCTTATCTTCATCCTCAATGTCAAACTCTGACTCCCTTTCCTCATACTCCACATTTTCATCCAGCTCTTTAAAGTCTGGTGCAAACGCACTCCAGTTTTCCTGTGCCACAAACACAGAGCACCTTGTTCACATTCATTGCTTTACAATTTAAAGATAAAATACCACCTGCAACCAGAAACTTGACTCTGTAAATTCTATTTTATGGCATAGAGACACAAAAACTGCCATCAAGTTTTGGCAGAAGTTTTTAAAAATTATTCCCTTTAGTTACTTTTTGTCTAAAAACTATTTAAAAACCCATTTTTCTCTACTTTTGGGAATTAAGTTCTAATTCAACTACAACAGATTTTTTAAACAAGTTTAGTTATCTCCATGACTTAAAGTTGTTCTCAGAATAAAATAAAGGCATAAAATTTGAAGAGTACCCTTTGTCAGCCAAACACTCTGGAAAATTTTCTTAAAAAGGTTCAATGGCCTTCTCTCAGTCTTCATCCTCCTTGACCAGGAGTGGGGAACCCTTGGCCTTGAGGCCACATGTGGCCCTCTAGGTCCTCAAGTGCAGCCTCTTGACTGAATCCAAACTTTGTGAAGGTTCCCCACCCCTGTCCTTGACCATTCTGTAGCTTTCAAACATTATTGACGATTCCCTCTTCCTAAATACTCTCCTCTCTTTTCACTTCTGTAACACTGCTCTCCTCTCCTGGTTCTCTTCCTGTCTATTCTTTTTTTAAAAAAATTTATTTTTATGATGAACTCAACAAATAAATAATCAACAAATAAAACACAGCCATGCACAAACATGAAACCATGAACTTCATTTATGCAGTTTTTAAAAGCATATACAATAAATTTAACAAAGAACTAACAAAATTGCTGGGTTTTGTTCCCTGTTCTAAACTTTATATTTTTGTGTGTTTTTCTGTCTTACTAACAGCTTTTTTCTTTATCTCATTCATCTTCCCCTTCCAAAATAGAAAACTTGTCTTGTAAAAAATAAATACAGGCAAGCAAAATAAATCACATTGAACACCTATGAAAATAGCTATCTTCTTTTGCCCCTCTAGTCCTGGACCTCTCTGTCAAGAGGTGGAAAGGCATGCTTCAGTATTAGTCTCCTAAAGTTATAATTAGTCACAGTTCTATAACAGCTCCTTCTTGCTTCCTCCACTAATTCAAATCAAATTGTCAATAAGCATTTCTTAAATACTTGTTATGTGCTAGGAATTGTGCTAAATATTGGGAAGGGGGGGGGCAGGGAGGAGATGACTCCAAGATTTTAAACCAAGGTACCTGGAAGGATAGTGACATCATCCACAAAAATGGGTTAAGTTTGGAAGAAGGATGGGTTTAGGAGGAAATTTCAGTTCTGTTTTGGACATGCTCAATTTGAGATGCCTGTGTTACATCCAAGTGGAAATGTCCAACAGACCGTTTGTAATGAAGGAGTTCAGAAGATAAATAAGGACTTGATGTATATACTCTGGGAGTCATCAGCATTTAGGAGATGTGTATGGATCTGTGATTTCCTAAGCGTAGGGAATTCCTAGAGAGAAAAACTCTCCTACCCATGCAGAAAAACAATTGTTGTGCAACTTAGTTACACAGAGTTCCTACGGCATTAAGGAATAACTGACTTGCTCAGGGTCACTCAGTATGTGTCAGAGGTGGGATCTGAACACAAGTGGCCCTGACTCTAAAGCCAACACTGTCCAATATACCATACCTGTAGATTCGAAAGTTATCTGCACAAGATGAAAACTGAACCCATGAGATCACCAAAAGAGAAAACAATCCAGGACAGAGACTTGGAAGATGGCCACACTTAATATGGCCTCCAGCAAAGGAGACTGAGGAGAGGCCATGCAGGTTAAAGAGGAGAAAATTAAGCTGGAAAAAGGAGAGGTCAATTGCAGAAAAGGGAAGAATGAAGAAAAGTATACTGGACTTAGAAATTAAGAGATAACAAGATTATAAGATGATGGCTAGAAGGGATCTCAGAGGCCGTCTAGTCCTAACAGAAAAGGAAGCTGAGGCCCAGAGCCTTCCTCACTTGCCCAAAATCACAAAGGTAGAAATTAGTTTGACCTAATTGGTAAGCCTGGAGAGAGAAGGTTTAGTTGAGTAATAGATTCAGTCCAAAGTCAGACAGAAAAGGACTGAGAAGTGAGCAAATGGAAGCAATGATTAACATTCCATTCACCCAACTCTGAAAGATTCTTTCCTTTTCCTTGGGTCCTATTTAATCAGCTGCCAAGGGTAGTTAATTCTCTTTCCACAATCTCTTGTATCATTCCTCTTGTCTTTTTAAAACGTCTAAAATTTCTTAATAAATTTTGTTTAAACATCAAAAATTTCCAGAGTACTCCTAAAGGACATGTAATAAGTATTTATCAATGCCTGACTGGCTAACTCACTAGTACACCTCCCAGAGTACACCACAAAGAAGAATAATGCAGAAATAATTAAATAAATCAGCATATACAAATGGTTATACTCAAGTCCCATTCCTGACACCTACTGGGTGTGTGAAACCCTGGCCAAGTATGGTTTAAACCTCCCAGGGCTCCTTGCAACTCCCTAAGACTACACAGAAGCATAGAAGGTGCTGGATCTGCACTGGTAAGAAGTTCCTCTTTAGGAACTACCTACCCTGATAAAATTATAGGCAAGAAAAAAACAGAAATATGGTTGACATACATAAGCTCCCACTTCAGTAATTTTAGTGCATTAAAATAAATGGTAATATGTGTGCTTTATAAGTTAATGGCACTCTTATCTTTCAACTCCACGCCTCTGCTCTGCCTCTTGGCTTCCTGCTCTATGCAGCCCAAATTCCACCTTAAACAAGAGGACTTTCCTGGTCCTCCCAGGTTGTAGTGTCTTTCCTCAATAATGACTTTCCACTGGCTCTCAGTATATCTAGTTTACACCTAGTTATTTACATGTTATCTCACTCATTAGAATGTGAGCTCCCAAGGGAAAGTTTTTTGCCTCTCTCCAAATCCCCAGTACATCCCTAGCACAGTGCCTGGCATATAATTAGCATTTAACAAATGCCTGCCTGGCTAACTCTTTTTTTTTTTTTCTGAGGCAATGGGTTAAGCGACTTGCCCAGGGTCACACAGCTAGTAAGTGTCAAGTGTCAGAGGCTGGATTTGAACTCAGGTCCTCCTGACCCCAAGGCTGGTGCTCTATCCACTGAGCCACCTAGCTGCCCCTGTGGCTAACTCACTAGAGCCAGGAGGGGCCTCAGGAGTTCTAAAGTCCAATGCCTTCATTTTACAGATGAGAAACAGACCCAGAGTGATTTGCCCAGGGTCACGCAAGTAGAAGTGGGATTCAAACCCAGGCCCTCTGATTATAAATCCAGCATTTTTTTTACTTTAAAGCTGCCTTTATTTACATATTTTACCTAAGGCTAATGATGTAGCAGATCAGCTTCAGATAAGAAAATGAAAAACCAATCCTACTTCCCTCCATCAAACAAAAAGGCATAATCAGATGCAAAACGCTGACAAAGCTAACGAGAGAATTATACAGCTAACTCCTAATGGGAATAGAAGGGACCTAGTTTTAAAATAAATGAATACAAATAAAAACAATTCTTACCACTTGATTTTGTGCCCAGATAGATACCACTCCACTAGAAATGGATGCTATTATGGGTCGGACAGGATGCCACTGTATTTAAAGAGGAAAAAGAAACATTTTTTTTTCAAACATAGTTAAGATTTTTCTAGACAATGTGCATGACAAAAACTTCCCATTCTACTCACAGCTACATCCAACAGAAGCTCTCCTCTGGTCCCATGAAGAATCTTCACCAAGTTACCGATACTCTTCTCCCAGATATATAAGGCATGCTGTCGGGCAGAGCCTGCAACTATGTATTCCCCATCTCCAGAGAAACAGCATTTCTTCCAAGGTGTCCTAGAAGTCATGGGGAGGAAAATTATCCAGGCATACAGTTACCATACAAAAATACCCAACCTTTCCCTCTGTGCCTAGGACAAGGAAAGTAAAGCAAATACCAAAATGCCAAGAAGAAAAGTCCAAGGGCTCTGAACCATGGCAGAAAGGAATTTATCCCTACTAGGAACAACTCCAAGGTATACCAGTCCTAAAATGATCATACTACTTTTACTTTACACGAATTTACCTCTGGTAACATTTCTTCTTAAATGTGAGACACATACCTGTTTACCAAATCCTGCAGTTTCTGCATTGGTTCTGGTTCTCCATCTCTGCCACAGGTTAAAATTTCCCTGCCATCATACACTCGGATTATTCGATCTGCTGTATTTATTAAAAAGCAACTGCAAGAAAAGATGGTTACTATTAATACTCCCTAAGACTAAATACCTAGAGCAAGAACTTATTGAATCTCAGGCGGAAGGGACCTTAAAAATAACCTAATCAAACTACCACCTAGAATATAAGTCTCCTCTATAGCCCCTACAAGAGAGGTGTCAAACTCTAAAAGAAAGGATTCCTGCTGGCCATATGTTGACTTAGAAAACCACAAATTAACTATCTATGATGATGCACTATATTTTTATTTATGTTGTTAAACATTTTCCAATTACATTTTAATCTGGTTAGGCTACACTCAAGAATTTTGCTGGCTTTGAGTTTGACACATCTCCCCTATAACATCTGCTCGTGAATGTATTTGTCTTATTCCAAAGCTCCTTAAAGTCAAATCTCAGCTTCTCTACTTGAATGCATGTACTAACTATAGTGAACCCTTAAACACTGCTACACTTGCCACCAAAGTAAGATTTTTAGCTTACTAAATCCACAAACTTGCATTTAAGAATACAGTTGTACCTTTGTCATTTTGACATTGCTAGAAAAGTTCTACAGATGATAAATTTCTTGGTAAATCAAATGTTCCTCCCACAAGCGTTAAAATTTTTATCTGAAGTATCCAGAGACATCAAGGACAGAGGGCTTCCCCTAACAAAGCCCCAAGGTGATAAGAAATTTAGTATGTATCTTGAAACAACCAGAAATAGGAGTGATCAATGCTCTATACTTGCACTTAACACACTGAGACAGCTCAAGTCCTTAGGCTCCAAGGTTCATAGCACTCTGTTCCTCAAAGATCCAGAGGGGCCTTCCTTAGGAAGTAGATGTTAGCATAATCAGGTGACCCAGGTTCAGTTCAAGCAGGGCTAATCACCCCCAACCAAAATAAGGGTAGGAAGCAGAGCCTAGCCTTGGCACAAAGCCCCAATTCAAAACTAAGATTGGAAAGATGAATAAACTGAAGAAGATACAGACCATTATAAAGTACTGTCATAGATCCAAAGATATCCAAAAATTCAACCTAGAAGGAAAAAGTAATTCTCTAACAATTGCAAGCAGAGATTTAAAGAAAAAAAATGGATTTTCCACAAGGACTACATGAATACTTAGAAGAAATAAAGCAACATATAAAAAAAATGAAATAAAAAATTATGGGGTAATGAATTGGGAAGATAGTGTTGAAGAAAAAGTGATGAAAATTTTATTCAAGCAACAAATTCTCTGAAAACCAAAATGGACCAAACAGAAATCAATGACTCTATATGATGGCAAGAAATATTAGAACGAAATCCAAGCACTGAAAATATTTAAGATATCTGCTATCAAAAACAACTGACCATGAAAACAAGTACGAGTGATAATCTAGGCATCATCAGACTCCTTAAAAACCATGATTTTTTTTAAAAGCCTGGACAATATATTTCAAGAAATCACAAATGAAAATTGTTGCAATCTACTAGAATCAGAGGACAAAACAAAGATAAAAAGAACCCACCAATCATCTCCTGAAACAAACTCCAAAAATAAAAATTCTAGGAATGCAATAGCCCAAATGCAAAGGTTCCACATCAAAGAAAAAATAATGTAAACAGCCAGAAAGAAAAAGTTTGAGTATCAAGGAACTATACTCAGGAACCATCCAGACCCAGATGCTTCCACCATATACATGACATCTTGGAACAGATGTCTAAAGAGATAGGCTTAAAAGCAAGAATAACTTACCCTGCAAATCTGAGTATAATCTTATGGAGAAAAAAAAAATTGTCCTTTAATGGGATAGATGACTTTCAAGCATTCCTGTTTTCCCATTCAGTTGTTCATACTGTTCTCTTATTACCTTTAGTTCTACTATTAACAATAGTTCCATACTTCTCAACACGGCAATCATCAAAGGACTCCCCCAAAAGATAAACCAATGTTTCTATCAAGGTCATTGGCTTTTGCCGTTTGTTTAATGCAGTTAGCCACCATCTTTTTTTCTTTCTTGTGCCCATATAGGCTAGGGCACATCTTTAAAAAATGAGTAGTCATGGGAAGACATTAAATTACTAGATATTTACAAATGGTTGCATAAAGTCAAGAAATCCCTAACAGTATAGAGTTTAGAGGTCAGGCCACCAAGTCCAGGAAGACCAGATGGTCAGGGTCTGGAGGCCAAGACCAAGGTTTTTAGCACATAAAAAAACAACAACAAAAACAAGGACCCAGCTGTTCTATAATCCATGTAGTAAAGAGATCAGCTACACTATTTTGCTAATGTCACTGTTCCTGGCCATCCATTTTAGTTAATTGTTTTTAATATGCTGTGGGACAGACAACTATGTTTTTAGAGTTGTGTCTAAAGTAAGAGAAGTTCAATCCTTCTGCAAATTTGGAATTATACAACAAAAAAAAATTTTATGAAAATGTCCATACTCTTTCACACAGAGATTCTACTTCTAAGTCTATAACCCCAGATGACAACCGATAGAAAGGTCCCATATATACCAAAATATCAACACTTTCTGTGGTAGCAAGAAACTAAAAACAAAACAGAAGCCTATCAATTTGGGGAATGGTTAAACAAATTGTGATATATGAGCAAAATGAAATATTATTACGCCATAAAAAAATACAAATAAGACTTCAGAGAAGCACGGGAAGAGGAATACGAACAGATAGAGAAATAAGCAGAACCAGAAAGACAATATAACACAACAATGCAACAAAACAAATGAAAAAAACAATAAAATAAAATTGAGTGCTGTGTAATTACACTGACAAAGCTTGGTGCCAAAGGAGTTAAGAATGCATACCTCCCTCCTTTCCCTGCAGAGGTGAGGGGCTATGAATGTGGAATGTTGCATATACGCTATCAGCCAAGGTCAATATTCTGTCTAGTACTGCTGAGCTTTTAAAAATCTTTTTTAGTCAAGGGGACAGCTTGGCTCACTGAACAAGGGAGGGAGAAAGATACATTTGGAAATGAATACAATGTAAAAATAAAAGTCACCAATAAAAATAAAAAGAAATGTTAAGTAAGAAGTCCTAGGGACTCTTGTAAGAATGAAGTATATAAGTTTTATTTAGTATATAGAGGCTTCTTGAAACTGCTCATCTGTAATACAAAAAATTTGAAATTGAAAATACAATTCTACAATCTATTTTGACTAATTAAAGGCCTGAATAGTTTCATGCAAGAATAAGTAATATCTGGATAAAAGTATCTATTACTGTATTTGCTTAATTAGCATTAAGTTTCACGCACTTAGGAACTGCCTTAAAAGAGTCTATTCATTTCCCAAACTAAAACTGCCCTAAAAATAAATAAAAATGGTAAAAACAATGTGGTAGAACTTCAAGGAAAACAGGCACATGCATATATTTCTGGAGGCAAAGCAAACTGCTGCCAACTCTCTAGACAGCAAAGTGGCAAATACAGAACAAAAGGCAAAAAGCTGGTCACACACTTTGACCCAGCAATTCCACTACTAGGACTTTAGTTTAAAGGTGAAAAGAACCTGTTTATACAAAGACTAGTATATGCTCAATCAATATCCAGGAGTATCTAAAGGTCAGCTGAATCTTTAAATGGCAACAACAAAAAAGGGATCTATTCTGAATGCCTGAATCTTAGCATCACCAAGACCTTACTAGGAGGGATAAATAGCTCTAATTAAATGTAAGAAACACAGTGCAGCTAACATTAAAAAAAAACAACTGACAACATCCTAAATGTAATATTATATCACATTATCATAAAAACAATACACAAAGAATGCACAGGAATATGGAAACGTCTATATAAAATAAAGTAACAAAAGGAAACCTAGGCACACTGTCTCCACTAAGACCATGTGAAAATATTTATAACACAGTAAGTTGCTACTGGAGCTTCAGCATTTCATAGTAAAGCTAAATAAAAACAAAACAGAAAAGATAAGACTAAAGCTGCCCTGAGTAAAACCAGGGTCCTGACTCACCTCCCCTTCCGAGCAAACTCTATTGATTTTATAGCTGTGGTATTGCTGGTCCCAGTTGTTACTCTGAAAGAAGCAACTAGATCCTGGGTATCTGTTTTTAGGACCAAGATCTAAAGATTAAAGAAGAAGAAAATGAGCGTCCTGAAGACTGGTCGGCAGCCTGACCTGACTGTTATTGGTAAATCAAGGGTCATCTTCCCAGGTAATCTATGTAGCTGTCAGTATTCATTCAGAAGTCTAAATCCTATGAGTTATATACCACATCGACCTCAGCCACCATTGCACCGAGCTTTCTTCAAAGGGCAGTGTTAATATTCTTGAGTATTCACTTTACCAATATGTAAGAGATAATGTTCAAGGGTAGATCTGAAATCCAATTAGGCACCAAATGATTAGGACTGTCTGAACTTCATTCTTTTTATGTTTCCAAATGAGAGGAAAGAATAAGATCCTAGACATACTGCTACATTGTAGCTTTCTTTATTGTCTAAACTGTATTTATGAGTCAAAACAACCAAATTATAATTTCAGCTCTTATACTTATATGAATGAGTTATTGAACCTCATCTACAAAATCAGGATAACAATATCTCTTCAGCCTATTTCACCAGAAAAGTAATGTGCAACCTTAAAGTGCTATATGCAATCTTATTTTTTGTTTTTTAACCAGACCTGTGGTTTTACTGGCACAGGGAACTAACACTCAACGAAGTATTTCCTCTACCAGTGCAGATCTGCCCCTTCTCTCCAACTTAAAAATCTTAGAGAATTGGCTGGGACACCAACAAGTATAGTAACTTGCTCAGGGTTATACTACCAGCAAATGTTAGAAGGTGGACTTCAGCTCAGGTCTTCTTGGCTCTGAGAAGAATCCTTTATCCACAGCGCTATGCTTTCTCTCAAGATATTATGATTATCACAATCCTTTTTGATAAAGTTCAGCTAGAAATGGTCCTAGGCAAGCTGCTATCCCTCTACTTTTAAAAAATTTAGTGGTTGGCAAACTGCCATACCCCACAGTAGCTCTTTATGAAGATTAACATTTTCTTTTCAAAAACAAAACAAAACAAACAAAAACCAGGAAGAGAAATGATAGATAATATCAGCATAGCTAATAACTCAATTAAAGACTTAGAGAAACACTTCTGGAACTGACACTTCAAAAACGTACTAGTCCCGGTTGACAAAGGCATGTCACCGGATTCATATTAAAGGTACACAAGCTGTTTCACATGGTTCCAAATTGTACTTCCATTATGTTGTGACTTCAACCACACCATCAGAACTTCTCCATAGCCCCCTACTATAGGAATATCTGTCTCTCTCCTAATTCCTTTTTTGCTTCTCAAGTCTCTAAAATAAAGTTTTTGCTTGATGTTGAACTGTTTTAATTTTTTTTTTTTGCATTGCTTTGACTCCTTGTGTGACGTTAATCTGTTTTGGCTTTTATTTTCAATTACTGACTAAAATTATCAGGAATTTCAGTCTTTCAGGAGACTTCATTAGCTTTCTCAAGCTGCCATGGATAGCTTCTGAGACCTTTCTTTAAAAGTATTCCTTGAAAGCTCTACCTTTAGTCCTATGTTTTAAATTATTATTTATTATATTATTCATCTAATCCTCATCTTTTTTGATGGAACACAGATACAAACAGTCCTGGGACAATTTGTCATCCTGCTTTTTTAAATATTTTAAAGTTCTGCACACTACTGGGTGAACAGGTGAATAAAATAACCTGTTACATAAATAAATTACACATCATCATCATTATAACAGCAGCAGCAGCATTATCAGACATTAGCAAGGTTACTGATCAAGTAAGAACTTCAAAACGGGCATTTTCTAAAGAAGCCATTAAATCACTGCCCAAAGTGTCCAAAGCCAAAAACAAAACCTAGTGTGTATTTATTCAACTCGAGGTAGAAGAATAATAAAAAAAAAAACCAATAAACTTTGCTCCACTACAGGTTCAGTAACCCTCTCACTTTACAGATGAGGAACTGGAGACTCAGTGAGATTAATTGATTTGTCCAGGGTCACTTAGCACAGTGTCTTATGCACAATAACGCACTACCTTCTCGGAGGAAAAGTTGACTTGAATTACAAGCTGTTTAAAGATAAGTAATTTTTTTTGTTAGATTGGCATGGTGAATAAACAGCTGACCTCAAATAAGGAAAACCTGGCTGAAAGTCCCACCTCTGACACACACTGGGCAAATCATTGCACCTTTCTCCAAGTCCTCCAGGCAACTGTACTCACTGGGTTCTCTATGCCAATGAAATCACAGGTCTAGACTAAGAAAAAAATTTTGTTATTTTCATATACTTTTTAAGAATATACATACTTCAACTAGACTAACACTGTGCCTTTGCTGAAGCTTTCAATGATCCACTTTACTAAATAGTAAGAAGTTTGTTCTCTAGTAACTTACACATATCCCCTTGGATCTTGTTTATACTATTTTATTTGGCAAACATTTTTATACAAAAGGCCTAAAGGTAATCTTCAGCTCAGCCTCCAGGGATCTGAATTAATGAGATTTTAACAAATCTCTGCCTCTCTGCCTGGTGAAAAATCAAAGGAAAACAGACAACAGAATTTGAGTAGGCAGGGAAAATTCAGAATACAGCTGCTATAGGCAGATCTGTGCTATTAGGTCACTGATATCAAGAATATAAGAAAATACAGCTAAGGAGATAAAACATCCAAGTATGTATGAATAGGGCCAATGCCCAATGCTGATTTGAAGATAACAGTAGCAAATTTCTACAACAGAATACTTTTCGGAAGGCTATCTTAATTCTGAAGATCTTGTCTTGCATACTTACCTTCCCCTTTGCATTCCCCGTATAGATATATTCCCCTCGTCTATCGAAAGATGCAACCACATTTAGATCAGAATCATCATCTACTGGCAAGACGACATGTTTGGAATCAGAAAGGGTCAACATAACAGGAGCTGATTTCATAGGGCATACAAGAACTTTGTTCCTGTTTAAAAAAGACAGATGCAAAAAGTTGAGCTTTGGAATCTAAAGATTAATCCTCCGATTTCCCCCCAAATAGATCCTTACTTACTGACCCCTCAAATATCCCAACTTCCTAAAATTTCAACTAAGACAGTCGTGCTTACTTTTCTATGTGCCCATTTTTCCAAATAAAAAAGATTCTGTTCTATTTTAATTATAAAACTACAATAAAGCAAATTATCATTAGCTGCTTCTCTTAAAACTTCAAGGGCACCAACAGCGCACAGAACAAAATCATCTGCATACATTCTGGGGGGCTGACTCTAAACTAAAATATTCACCAATCCAGAGTTAGCCCATGTAAATTTAGACCCCAACCCAAGAGATAATTTGGCTAAACATACTGATCTCGGGGATGATACTGGACTTTCAGTATAGGTGAAGGGAATCGAAACCTCTGATCACAGTCTCCAGATAAGACATCCCACTGTGACACTATGTTATCAGTTGATGCACTCACAAGCTTGTGACCATCTCGACTCCAGCTTAAAAAAAAAAAAAGAAAAGGTTACTTTTTCTGTATTGTAAGTTACCACATATAAGATTTCATTTTTTTTATTTTCACAAAACGTTCAACTGTCTATTCTGCTCTCTTCTTCTGTTTTATGGGCAAGTTTGTCCCATTCACAGTTATGACTGCTATCTCCCTCCATCCTATTCTCATACAGTTATCCTTTTTAACTGTCTCCTCCTCAAAGAGTTTGTTTTGCTTCTGACCACTGCCTCCCTTAATCTATCCTCCCTCTTATTCCCGACTCCCCCCTCCTTAGCCCTTTCCTTCCCACTTCCCTGTTGATGAATCTCTGTATCCAGTTGTGTGTATGTATATTCCTCCTTCCTTGAATCAGTTCAGATGAAAGCAAGGTTTAAATGTTGCCCACTTCCACAATCCCTACTCCCTCACTCATCTCTCTTATACTGGATAAACTTATCCTTTGTGCTTCATTTATGTGAGATAATTTTTCCTATTCTTCTCTCTTCTTTCCCTCTACCAGTGCACCTCCCTTGTGTCACCATTCCATTCTTCTTTTGAGATCATCCCAACACAACAGACTCATAACCATGCCTTCTCTCTAACAGTCCTAGTGATGACAACGTTCTTCTACGGTGACATGCATCATCTTCTCATACAGGCATATAAAGTTTAATCTTGTTTAGTTGCTTACGATTTCTCACTCACGTTTACCTTTTTATGTTTCTCTTGATTCTTGCGTTTCAACGTTAACCCTGATCTTTTCATCATGAACGTTTGAAGTCCTCTATTTCACTAAACATCCATTTATTCCCATTTCATAATACTCAGTCTTGCTAGGTAGGTTATTCTTGGTTACAATACTAGCTCCTTTTGCCTTCCTTTATTTTGTTGCTGCTGAATCTTGTGTGATCCTGAATGTGGCTCCACAGTATTTGAATTCTTACTTGCTGGCTGCCTGCAGTATTCTCTCCTTGATCTGGAAATTCTGAATTTTGGTTATAGTACTCCTGAGAGTTGTTATTTTGGGATTTCTTTCAGGAAGTGACCAATGGATTCTTTCAATTTCTACTTTAGCTTCTGGTTCTATGCTATCTGGGCAGTTTTCCTTTATCATTTCTTGAAATATAATGCCTATACTCTTTTTTTTTGCTCATGGCTTTCAGGTAGTCCAATGATCCTTAAATTATCTCTCCTTCGTCTATTTTCCAGGTCAGTTGTTTTTCCTATAACATATTTCATATTTTCTTCCATTTTTTTCCAGTCTTTCAACTTTGTTTTATCGTTCCTTGATGTCTCATAGTCATTACCTTCCCCTTTGCCAATTCTGTTTTTTAAGGAGTTGCTTTAGGATTTTTTGTGCCTCTTTTATCAAACTGTCAATTCTCTTTTCATAATTTTCTTGCATAGTTCTCATTTCTTTTTGCAACTTTTTCTCCACTGCTGTCATCTCACTTTTAAAATAATTTTTTTTTGCTCTTTTGTAAAAAAAAATCTCTTTTAACTCTTACCCCTTTGGCAATTTACTCAGAGCAAAACCTTCTCAGAATGTTTTTATATGTGTAAAATAAAATTCACAGGATTACAAAGGAAACTAATTACATGGAAATATACTTACTAAAATGTTATCAAAGCAAGTTCATAGTTACCAGGTTAAGAACCCCTGGTCTAGCTCCTAGCTTCCATCTATGAAAGCCTTGCTTCTCATAAGATTCCCTCAGGAATTTTTTTCTTGATTTCTGGTTTTTATTCCAATTCTACTTCAGATACCACCTCTCACCTCTGGTCCTTCTAGCTTTTCAACCTGTCTGCCCGATCTTGGCTCATTCAAACCAATTCTGACTTCCAATTGCACACAAACTTCTCAGCCACCCTCTACCCCCAACTCCCCAAACCAGGGAGGGTTCAATTGGTACCATAAATCCTACTCAGTCACAGCCTCTGTTGGTCACGGGGAGAATAATATACAACTCAAGTTTAAAATGTCAATAAAAGATGTCTTACCATAAGGAACAGACTGGATGGATGTGGGCACTAATTATTTTAGCAATGCCTCTTGTCAAGAAATCCCAAATGACAATTCGGCCATCGTTACAGCCAACAGCAAGCAGTGTGCCCCATCTGTTAAAGGTGCAGGTCAGGGCCATACTGATGCAATCCAAAGTTCCATCAGCTTCCTAAAGTACAAAGCAAATACAGATAAACAACAACAGCAAGATACTCCAATTAATTCCTCAGGCTTCGCACTCAGTTTAAACATTTTTCTTGAACTTAAATTGTCATGGTCACAAAAATTTATGAGAGTTCTGACCAAAACTGCCCATCCATTTTTTTCCCTACCAATCAAATAAAATACTTAGCTCCCAATGCAAGTTAGAATAAAACCATCACCATACTGGATATTTCAAACTACTGTCATGAGGATCTAAAAATGTGCTCTCTCCAAAAGCTGGCACAATATCATCACTAAGTAGGACCAAGGAGGACACTGCAAGCTTACCTCTGGGTAGTTCTGTCCAAAGGACTCTGCAACAAAGTAAAGAAAGTATGTTAATTTTAAAAATAGCAGCAACATATTTTAGATTACCAGTGAAGGAGTACTGTCTCATGAAGAAGCCTATTTCACTTAGTTTTAATTATTAAAAAGTTTTTATTAGACTAACCCCAAAATCTGCCTCCTGTAAATCCCACCTTCTGATCTACAAAAAGTTAAGTCTAACCCCTCCTTTTGGATGATAGCCTTTCAATCTTAGACCACTGCTACTTAGTACCTCCAGGTTTTCTTTTCTCTAGGCCAAACATCCTTACATGTCTGCTCATATGATGTGCTTAAAGCTCTCTAGTCATTCATTTTAAAAGTTACTCTAACATAGAGGTTCTTAACTTTTTTGTGGGTCAAGGACCCATTTGCTAGTCTAGTAAAGTCTATGCATCCCTTCAGAGAATGTTTTTAGATAACTGAAGGAATACATATCAGTCAAGTTCAATAACCCCCAAAATCTATTCATAGATCCCTTGAGTGTTCTGTGGATGCCAACTTAAGAACCCCTGCTCTAAAAGCACCCAGAGCTTAATATAATACTCCAAACATGGTCTATCCAGTACAGACTATAGCATGACTATTACATTCATTTTCCTAGACAGTATAATATAATACTGCAAAAGTTAGCATCCCTCAGGGCAGCTAGGTGGCACAGTGGATAGAGCACTGGTCCTGAAGTTAGGAGGACCTGAGTTCAAATCCAGCCTCAGACACAACACTTATTAGCTGTGCGACTTTGGGCAAGTCACTTAACCCAAACTGCATCACCAAAAAAAAAAAAGTTAGCATCTTTTTGCTAAAGTTCTGTTCTGAAGTCTCATTCTAGCATGGAAGTGACCTTGCATTCTCAGTAGAGCAATAAGAGCAAGCCAGAAAAGTTTCAAGGCCAGGGCCAGGGATGGGGCTATGTGCCTCTTCAAGAACCAATCTAAGTTTTGAAAGGTTCATTATCAGAAAGTATTGTAATTTTGGCCTGAGCAACTCACAAAAAACTAAAATATGAAAAAATCCCAACGTTCATTATTGAAAGTAACATGCACACTGATGAAATAATGATTCACAGAATATTAAAGCAAAAAGAAACCTGTTGCTACCTAGTCCAACTCACACCAGCAAAAGAACCCCTAATACAACATACTCAACAAGTGGGTACCCAGCCTCTGCTCGAAGACCCTTAAGGAGAGGTAACCCACTATCTCCCAAGGTAGCCCATTGCACTTTTGGACAGCTCTACTTGTCAGGAAGCTTTTCCTAACATTAAGCCTGTATTTGCCCTTTCTGTTGGGTATTTATTTACTACCTTTGGAGACCTGATCATATCTTTACCTGAAGTCACCAAAGACAGAAGATCTGTTCTAGTTCATCATGTGAATTTTGGGAATCCATCTTTTTCATCTCTCTGCCTCAAGTCTCCCTTTAAACCTCTTGCACCAACTTATTCCTATAGCTACTTTGCATCTCCACATTTGTATTTGTCACTATTCTCCCAGGCTCCCTATTCTACTTCACTTATCTAAATCCTACCTACTTCTTCAATATCTAGCTAAAGCCCCAATGATTTCATTACCACTCCAATACCTTTTCTAAATTCCTATGAAGAAAAACAAAACAGCATGTTTGGCTCACACCTTATGTTTCTGATTCATATTGAGCTTGCAGTTAGCAAAAGCCCCTGTATCTTTTTCACAAGAAAGCCATATCTCCATATGATTTTTCTAAATTAAAACAATAATCAATCAACCAACCGAAAACATTAAGAGGTGCCAATCACTGTACTAAGCACTGGGGATACAAAGACAAAAAGGAAACTGTCCCATCCCTAAGGCATTAACATTTTCTAAAGGAAAACAACATATACGTATAAGTAAATTCAAAAGTATACACCAGGTAAACAAAAACAGGGTAATGAGAAGAAGGTGTCAGGAAGTAGTGGAGGAAAAGAAAAGGGCTTAGTATCCTACAGCTATTCCTAAATTTCATCACATTAGATTTGGCCCCATTATCTAAATGCTATTCATGCCAAACTAACTTCAGCTATTTGCCAAGCACTGTGTTAAGTACTAGGGATACAAAGAAAGGCAAGAACACTATTCCTGCTCTCAAGATCACATTTTAAGGAGACAACATACAAACAGGTACATACAAGAGGTACATACATTATGTACACAGACACATACAAAATATACAGAGAATAGAGGGGAATACACTAGCAACTGAAGGTACCAGAAGATAAGATCTGAGTTGAGTCTTGAAGGAAGCCAGGGAAATCAAGTAGCAGAAGTGAAGTATTCCAGATATGGTGGACAGGCTAATGAAAAGGCATAAAAAAGGAAGATAGACTGTTGCGTGTAGGTTGTGAGGAAAAGCGAGTAGACTAGTGTAGCTATTTCAGAGTTCAAAGAGGGGAATAAAATGTAAGTACACTGGGGAAGCTAAAAAATGAGCAGGTTGTTAAGGGTAGCTAAAACCAAAGGACTTAACATTTTATCCTTGAAATAATAAGGAGAGAGGAGGTGTTAGGTAAGAAGGGCAGACCTACACTTTAGGAAAATCACTTGGGTAGCAGAATACAAGATGTATCCAGAGATTTGAAGCAGGAAGGCCAATTAGGAGGCTACTGTCATAATCTAGGAGACAGGTAACAAGGAGTTGTGGCTTTATGAATGAAGAGAAAGAGCCTTATATAATAGATGTTATAAAGATAGAAATGGCAAGATTTGGTAACAGACTGGATATGAACTGGAAATGTTGTGATAGAAGCATAAGCTGCAAGGGACTTCAGTAACTATACAGTCCAAGCCTCATCTGAAACAAATTCTCCCATTATAAATATACTAGAAAAAAAGATCATCAGTCTCTGCATAAAGACCTCCAAAGAGGGAATACTAATGACTTCCTGAGATAGTCCAATCCACTTTTGGACATCTCTGAAGGTAAATTCCAGGAGGGCAAGGACTATTTTTCACCTTGTCTTTGTCTCTCCCCACATAGAGTGCACCATCCTCCCAGTCACCCAGGCTTCCACCCTAGATGTCACTCTTGACACCTCATCCTCCACATCCAATAGTTGCCAAATCCAGTTCATTCTACCTTCATACACACCCTCTTCTCTCCTCTGACACTGCCATAAACCATGCTCCAGGCCTTCATCAACTTACACATGGCAATGGTCTGCTGTGCTCTCCCTGCTTCACATCTCTCCTACTCTAGGCCATCCCCCATTCAGCAATCCAAGTAATTTTCCTACTGTCACATCCACCTATTCAATAAACTTCAGTGGTTCCCTATAACTTTCCTGATCAAATACAAAATCCTTTGTTCATTTTTTAATGCCCTTCACAACCTGGATCTTACTCTCTTTCCAATCTTTCTTACACCTTACTCCCCTCCCCATACTCTGTGGATGAGGAGGAGGATGACAAGAAGGAAAAGAGAAAGATGTGAGTGAAGAGGAGGAGGATAAGTAAGGGTACAATAATGGAGGAGTAGATGATGAAAAAGATGAAGAAGAAAGTGGACAAAAGAGAAAAGGAGAACCTGAAAAAGACAGAGATAAAAAAACCTATTTTTAAATGACTAATTTTTTAAAAATTCCTATTGAGATTTGAGTGTTTTGGGAATCCAGTAACACTTGGTTGCTTCGCCCACAATATACTCCATCTCCTTCTCTCTGCATTTTCACGAGCTATTTCCCATGCCTGGAATTTTCTTCTTCACCTCCTGTTTTCCCTGGCTTCAAGTCCCAATTATAATCCCACTTTCTATAAGAAGCTTCTCTCAAACCCCCATAAGGTTAGGGCCTTCTCTCTGACAGTACATCCAATTGCTCCTGTATGTATCATGTTTGGAGTTTGTATCTCATCTCTCCCTTTAACTGAGTTCCCTGACAGCTGGGGCTTTTTTGTTGCTGCTGCTTTTCTTTGTATCCTCAGTACTTAGTAGCGTGCCTGGCACTAACAGATACTTGTCTGACTGACTGAGGCAGGGACTGTGTGGTTTTTCACACCAAGACACCATAACTTGAACAAAGAGCTTAATAAAAAGGTTGTTTGACTAATCCACTCTCTGTCTCGTTTCGCTGTCTGCTTCAGGAATAACTCCCATTAGCCTATGAACTCCGGCAATCTCTTCCTGCCCTCTCTCCCAAGCAATGAACAGCCTGGACACACAAAGCATCCACTCCCTTCGGCAGGCACCCACTTGGTGTAGGATGTACGCACACAGAACGTCTGGAACACACCAGGAGTGCCACACAAGCACACACCCACACATTACAACCATCACCACCCCGGCACGGGCACAAACTCTCAAGCCGCCTACACGGCGAGAGCTCAGGAAATTCTGGCCAAATCAACTCCACCGGCGGCAGCCTCTCGCCCTGGGCTGAGAGCGGCCGGCGAGAGACGGTGTCCCCACCCCGGGGGACCTGGCGGCTTCTCACCCAACAACTCCAGGTTCATCCCGGCGAACTACCGCGGGCAGGGCTCAGGGGCCGACTCCGCCTCCACCACCCCGCACCTGGGGCCGCGTCTAGGGAGCGGACGCACCGAATGCACACAGGCACTGGGGACTTCGCCCGTCGGAGGACCCCGCCGCTCTTGCTCCCGCTTCCGCTTCCTGCCCCCTTCCCGGGCTGCGAAGTGGGGCTGCCTGAGACAATGCCTAATCTGGAAAGAAGCCCAGAGGCTTCGCGGGAGAAGCCGAATAAATGGCCTTTCCGAGGCTGCCAAGATAAAATTCCTGACCTGTTCGCAGGGTTTCAGATATCAGTGGCTGAGTAACAGGAAACGATGGAAGCGACCGGAGCAATCAGGCAAAGATCTGGACAAACAAGGTGCCTGGTGAAAGTGTCCCGTGTAGCAACGTGAGACACCATCGCAGCAGTTCCGAATGGAAAGATGAAGGGAGAAGTAGAGGGGAAGGACAACCGGAAGAGCCCACGAGTGACTGACTGACGGACGGAAATGCCTGTGTGCGCATAGCCGCCCGGCCCCCCGAGTAAGAGTAAGGGTGTGTTGGCGCTCGGTTTCCACCTTCCCCTCGCTCTCCTGCTGCATCCCCAGAGCGGGCGGGCCCCGCTGTCGCTTCGAGGCTGAGGCGGAGGTCGAGGACCGTGTCCTTTGTCCGAGCATCGCTGCGGTGGCCGGACGCACGGTGAGGAGATGGTCCGAGGGGGCGGCGGGTGGTCCCCGGCGGGGGAGGGGGAGCGGACCCGCGATCCGCTGGGAGGAGGGAGGCAGGGCCTGCTCCCGGTGGTGGGGGGAAGATTGGGGAAGTGCTTCCCCCAGCCCCATCGTCGTCCGGCGGCGGGGCGACCCTCCCCCGCCTTCGTGCAGCCCGGAGTGAGGAGCGAGGCCCAGAGGCCCGGAGTCGAGCCGAGCCGAGCTCCGCAGGGTCCACCCTCTTTAGACCGCAGCCCTACTACGTCCGTCCGTCGGTAACGTTATTTGCATCTGGTTCCCAGTCCTTCCGGGCAGATGGGGTGACTCCCCATTGGATAGATGAGGCCCAGAGGTCCCCCGGCTAACGAAGGAGTAGAGCTAGGATCAGAACTTAGATCTTTCGCCCCGTCCACTTCTTGGGCTTAGGATCCCTTCTCTCCTCGGGTGGGCTTCGTGGGAGGCCACGAGCGAGAGAATGTATCACTTCTGAACTTTGATGAGGCAGCCCGTGGGGACCGTTCCCAGGCGCTCATTCAAAACCTTTCCCGCTTGATAAAACCTCCCGAGCTTAACGGTCAGTTAGCTTTTTTTAAGCGCCTGCTATGTGCCAGACACTGGGCTAAATGCTGGAGATACAGAGGAAAGCAAAAGACAGGCCCTGAGTTCCTTGGAGACTGACAGTCCAATGAGAGAGGCAACAAGCAAGCAAATAGAGGTACAAACTAGCTACATCCAGGATCGGTAGGAGGTAATCAAGGAAGGGAAGAAAAGGGGTCGGAAAGGTTTTCTGTAGAAGGTAGGATTTTAGCCAGGGCTCGAAGGAAGTCAGCATGGGGAGGGAGCAGATGCAGGGTTTGAGGGAGAGCCAGAGAAAATGTCTCGAGCAGAGAGCACAGCATTATCTCGTTCTTAGAACAGCAGGGAAGCCCGTGTCCTTGGAGTGAAGAGTACTTGGGGGAGTGTAAGGTTTTAAGAAGACTGGAAAAGCGGGGGGGGGGGGGGGGGGGGGCTAAATTAGGAAAAAGTCTTGTGCTGCCAAAGCTTGTACTTCGCTGTTATAACCCTTCCATAACACGAATAGCCAACAGAATAGGACTTTAATGGAGGTTAGAAAATTACGTGTGTGTATTAATAGTATATCCTTTGTAGTAATCATGAAGTACCTGTTATAGTTATAGGCAAAACTGAATATTTTAGGTGCTCGGTATTACAGTAGCCAAGGGGTTAAACCAGATAGGGTAGGGTTGTGGAAAACCCCCTCATTTTGGAATACTTTGACTAAAACACTTTATATGGAGAATTCCACCAGGGCAGTAAAAGTTTGCAGAACCTAGACCTTCTATTGGTGCAGTTTTCACAGGAGATGCTCTTACCATAATCAGTAGTCATAATAACACAGCGCTGTCAGTACTACTACTTATAGCTGACATTTACATTGTACTTGAAGATTTCTAAAGTACATTCTATACATTATATCATTTGATTCTCACAGGGACCATGTGAAGTATATGTTATTATTTTTTAATTAATTTTTTTTTCAAATGGAGATCCACCTTCTCTTCTTCCCAACTCCTCTCCCCCACTACCCTCTTGATTGAGAAAGAAAAAAAAATAAAACTTCTGTTACAAACATGTATAGTCAGGCAAAATAAAGGCCTGCCTTGGCCATTTCCAAAAAATACTATGCTAAAAAAATTTAAAAAATACTATGCTTCAGTTTGCACTCTGAATCCCTTTCTTTATCAGGAGGTAGGTAGCCTTTTTCTGTAATAATCAGAGTTCCTAAACCTTTTAAAGTTGATTGTTGTCAGTATATAAGTTGTTCTGGTGATTCTGCTCACTTCATTCTGCATCATTTCATACAAGTCTTCCCAGGTTTCTCTGAAACAATCCCCTTCAATATTTCTTTTCAAAATTCAATTTTATTTTCAGATCCAAATTCTCTGTCCCATCTTGATTTTCCACCCACTGAAAAATCAAGGAAAACAAAACCCCTATTACAAACACATACAGCCAAGTAGCTAGAATAGTGGATAGAGCTTGCCATCCCTGGAGTCAGACACTTACTAGCTGTGTGACCCTGAGCAAGTTACTTAACCCTGTTTGCCTCAGTTCCTCAACTGTAAAATGAGCTGGAGAAGGAAATGGCAAACCACTGCAGTATCTTTGCCAAGAAAACCCCAAAAGAGGTCAATGCAAAGTCAGATGCAACTAAAATAAGTCAACAACAATGGTCAAGCAAAGTAAATTACTGCATTGTCCATATCCAAGAAAAAAGAAAAAACCCCACCATATGCTTCACTTTAGTCCACCTTTTGTCCATCACCTCTGTATCTGGATATGGAGGGTGTGTTCATCATGAGTCCTCTGGAATTGTGGTTGGTCATCATGTTGATAAGTCTTTTCAAAGTTATTTTTACAATATTGTTGAATAAATTGTTCTCTGGGTTCTGCTTACTTTACCCTGCATCAATTCACACAGGTCTTCTGAGGTTTCTCTAAAACCATCCCTTTGATCATTTATTACAGCACAATAGTATTCCATCAAGTTCATATACCATAATTTGTTCCTTCATTCCTTAGTAGGTGGGCTTCAAACCCATGTCCTAAATCCAAGGCTGTTTCTAAATACTAAGTTTTTTACAGAAGTAGAATGTGACGTATAGAATCAAATGACAAAGTACATCACAGACAACAGGTAACCTGAGTCGGGACTTCAGTAAATACTTGTTTATTGACTGGGGACCCTGGTACAGTTTGTCACAAAGCATGGATATTTTTGTCACAAGGTCTGGGACTACTATACCTTAAGATTCTGAAATAACTTACAAATACAACTAATTTTCTAGTCATTATCTTTGAAAAATGGTAGGGAGAGAGAAGCTTAGCTGCCAGAAGATAAGAGATAAGCAGAATGTCCAACTGTTTGAGAACAGGAGGATTGGGAGGTTAACATTAATTCTTAATAAACTTTAGAACACAAAGGAATGGTTTGTAATCACTTAGAAATGGAAGAAGCGATCAAAAGAGTGAGCATGAATTGACTTGAGAACAAGTTGTACCAGACTATCCAGATTTCCATTTCTGGTCATGGAATGCGATGGACATCATGAACCCAGTAAGGCATTTGATTAAGTTTCTTATTTCCTTATGGACAAAATGGAGAAATAGGGGATTGGGTTCAGAACTGGTTAAATAACTGAACCCACAGAGGGTTGATGAATGGATCCTTTACCAATGTGGAGGGAGTTTATAGTGGAGTTTACCCTCCCCAACAACCAGGGATCTCTCATTGTTCTGTTCTGCTCAGCATTCTTATGAGTGATTTAAGATGAAGGTTTAGGTGGCACACAGCAGATTGATGCAACACAAAGCAGAGGCATACTAATAAACTGAGTGGTAGAACTGGTATCCCAAAAGATTTCAATATGCAGAAGCAATGGGTTTTAGTTAATAAAATCATATTTAATAGGGATGAATGTAAAGACTTGCTAATAAATAAAAACAGAAAATCAACTGCACAAGTACAGGACAATGGAGATGTAGATATAAAATGGCTATTGTGAAAAAGCTTTTGGGGTTCTAAGGGATCACAACCACAGTGGGATATGGCAGCCCAACAAGCGAAGATGGTAGCATCCAGAGAAGGGGGATAATTATCCTACTGCTACACCACACTGGTCAGACCCTTTCTGCAATATTGGGTTCAGTTTTAGGCACCACTTTTTTAGAAGTGACATTAACAAGGTAGAATACATCCATAGGAGACTACCAGGATGATGAGTGACCCTGAAACTATTCCCCATGAAGATTAGCTGATTAGGGGTGCTTAGCCTGGAAAAGAGAAGAGTAAACATGAAACCTGACCTTGAGCAAAGCCCTTAACCTCAGTTTCTTCATCTATAAGATGAGGGGATTGGACTAGATAATGGTTATGGTCCCTTCCAGCTTTAAATCTTAATTCTCTGACTTTTCAGATTAACCAGGGAATGTGGGACTAAGAGCAGTTGATGAAAGTCACAAGGAAAACAGGTTTCAGAATCTAAATATAGAGCAAAATATCCTTAAAATTAGAAAATTTTCAATTTCTTTTTTTTTTAAGTTACTTTCCCTACTGGTAGAAAATATTGATAATGCTAATATTGTAATTAGCTCATATTTATAGAACACATCAAGGGTTACAAAGTGCTTTCTTACAACAGTATAAGGTTATTATTGTGCTCAAACATACACAGTAAGTAGCAGGTCTCAGAAGTCTTTTGACTCTGTCCAGGATTTTTTCCACTACATTATTGCAGTTTATGTGCATTTTTTCTTTGACAGGTATAGGTTTTCACTACTGATTATGGGGAATGTCCTTTGTAAACTTTAAAGCACTATAAAATAAATTATCAACATATACATATATGGAAGGAGACATTCAACTAGGGAGCCCGATTT